TAGCCCATTCAGAGACGAGATCGAAGCGGTACCCATTGAGAACGATGGTCTTCATTCTGATATCAGCCTGGTTAAGGTGGCTTTTGCAAAGGTTAAAAAGTGGTTGAAAGGGAATACAGTCGTCGTTTCGCTACATAGGGTTTTCAGTCTCAAGCTCAGCTCAAGTCTCAAGCTCAGCTCAAGTCTCAAGCTCAGCTCAAGTCTCAAGCTCAGCTCAAGTCTCAAGCTCAGCTCAAGTCTCAAGCTCAGCTCAAGTCTCAAGCTCAGCTCAAGTCTCAGCTCAAGATATTCAGACATTCGCCTGAATGCTTTCATTTCAGCTTACTGTAGTGAGCTTCGATAGTGTGCTTCGATAAGGTTAACTGTATTGAAGGGCTGAACTTGGGAATACTATAAAATAGCTCTACCGTATCTCTACAGTATCTTTAAGTCTAGTAAAACAAGGAATCACCAGTTTCCTGACTCATTACAGTATGCTAGATGCTAGTTTACAGTTGCTCAAAAAGTATTCAGTCTTTCGAATCTGGACTACTGTAGCAGGACAATATCCTGTATTTACGTTAGCTTCGTTCGTTAGCTTCGTTCGTTAGCTTCGTTTGTTAGCTTCGTTCGTTAGCTTCATTCGTTAGCTTCCTTCGTTAGCTTCGATCGTTAGCTTCGTTCGTTAGCTTCATTCGTTAGCTTCCTTCGTTAGCTTCGATCGTTAGCTTCGTTCGTTAGCTTCGTTCGTTAGCTTCGTGCGTTAGCTTACATGAATTCTAAGCTCTGTAACAAATCATTTTAAAGATGAGCAAGCCGCCAACAACGACCACAACATCAGCAGCGATGGATCTAGAGTTGGCGCCAAAAGTCGGCTTCGAAGTTCAACGAAAAGCACCCGTCGGAGTTGTTGTGAGTGATAATTGTAGCAAAACTGTGGCCGCATTTTGGAAGCATTCTATTGTAATAGTCCGTAGAAATACCCTGTAGTACTATTGTACTTTTGTACAGCGTTTTATCAGTCAGACATTTGCCAGCAACTTTTCCTGTACACCTGCACAATGGTTTACTTCTCTACCGTACTTCAACACTACAATAGTCACACTTACTGTAGCTAATAGCCAGTTTGATGCACCGATTACTAAAAACAGCTAGATCGCTTAATTAGACACATATTTACTCTCAATTCAATTCGAATTTCAGCCACAGACTCAAAACGAGCCCGTCTTCTTCACCGACTCAATCATGTCCATTGGTGGTTCAAGTATGTTAATCTAGTTAATCTAGTTAATCTAGTTAATCTAGTTAATCTTGTTAATCTTGTTAATCTTGTTAGTCTTGTTAATCTTGCTAATCTAGTTAATCTAGTTAATCTAGTTAATCTTGTTAATCTTGTTAATCTTGTTAATCTAGTTAATCTAGTTAATCTAGTTAATCTTGTTAATCTTGTTAATCTAGTTAATCTAGTTAATCTAGTTAATCTAGTTAATCTAGTTAATCTAGTTAATCTAGTTAATCTTGTTAATCTTGTTAATCTTGTTAATCTAGTTAATCTAGTTAATCTAGTTAATCTAGTTAATCTTGTTAATCTTGTTAGTCTTGTTAGTCTTGTTAATCTTGTTAATCTAGTTAATCTAGTTAATCTTGTTAATCTTGTTAGTCTTGTTAGTCTTGTTAATCTTGCTAATCTAGTTAATCTAGTTAATCTAGTTAATCTTGTTAATCTTGTTAATCTTGTTAATCTAGTTAATCTAGTTAATCTAGTTAATCTAGTTAATCTAGTTAATCTTGTTAATCTTGTTAATCTTGTTAATCTTGTTAATCTTGTTAATCTAGTGATAATCTAGTGATAATCTAGTAATAAGATTTATCTAGTATTTGATTTATCTAGTATTTCATCAAATATTCAATCAATATTATTAGCAGATCAACTTTTAGCAGCTCATTGGGGTCCGTGGTCAAATTGGGGCAATTGCTTTTGTGGGAATCAAGTGAGAACTCGAGCCTGTGACTATGTTGTCGGTTTCACCACAACTGGATGTGAAGGTGAAAGAAATTGAGAGTAGAATTGGATGCATTGTACAGTGAATTGGATTACAGTGAATGCCACTGTAAAATGTACCTTTTCTATTGTTTACAGGTCCATCCTATGAAGCAAGACCGTGTGTTGGTGGAGTGTGCCCCGATAAGACGAGAGCCACGCAAATCAAGTTTAAAGTGAGCAAAGTGAAGGTGTGTTTCAGAAAAGCCACAAAAGAAACCATATTATCGAATTTTAAATATGATTTTTAAGTTGTTATCGAAATGTTATCAAATTTGAATCAAATTTTCCTATCAATCCCTATCAATTTTAGCTGCACGAACCCACCGAAGCACCGTCGAGAGGAAAATTCGTCACCTTAGCGCGCTTCCTTCAATATCCACTGAAATTAGTGAGACAGATTAAAGAAACTGTAATATAAACCAAGAATTAACTTTATTATTTGTTCTGGCATCAAGCTACTACAAAATCTCTAGTCTTTGGTCTCCTAGAAGCAATTATTGTCTCTGAAGAGTAGATTGAAGCCACAAAACCTAAGATCTGACAGCAGGTTAGAACACCAACTTCTTTTGCTCCAATCGATTCGATGCACTTGCTCGTCGAAGCATCCAGTCAAACTGCCGCGTCATCGCAAGCAACAATGCGCTTGTAGTCGCTCTCTTTGAAATCTGCTTTGATTGTCTTGCTTAGCATCAGAATGTGCTCGAAAATGGCCTTCTCAAATTTGCCGCGCAGCTTTTGGCAAGTTGTTGTTGCTGCTCTCAAAGATTGGTGGCGCTTGAAGAACGACTCCATCCAACCATGACTTCTTTTGAAAGAAATTCGATCTATTTCGAATCGATCGGTCGCTTCATTCCAGAGAATCCGATCACTCGTTTCTTCTCGACTCGACGATATCGTATCCATTCAGCTAAACCGACATCGATCTCTTCCGAGCGGCGTCCGGCTCCATTGACTCTCTTCCGTTTTTCCGCAGATTTTCTCGAGCTCGGCCTCTTGTTTGATGTAGGAATGCACACATTTCCGATTAATCTTGTAGAATGCAGCGGCTACTTTGATCGAAAAATCCTTGCCCATCTTTGCAACAGCAAATTTCGTTTTCACATCAATGGCCTGTTTTTTTTCCTTCTAGGTGGCTCATTCGATCCCCTTGAAGATCCTACAGCTTCAGCATTCACCGAGTTCCCATTGGCATCTTGTTCAGCGCGTTCATCACGCGTTTCTTTGAAGAATTCCATGTGTTCTTCGCATTCTCGACAAGCCCGATATCCCTCAAAACCATCGAGCAATTTCCCGAGATCCATATCTGAAAAAATGAAATTAATGAGGAAACGAGAAAAATTAAAAATTAAAAAAGAGAAATTAATAATCAACAAATTTATGGGATAAAATGAAAAATACAAATGATTTTCAGGAAAAAAAATGAAAATTTTCCGCTTTAAAAGCGTTGTTTGTAATGACGCGTTGTTCTCATCTCGTTAAGGGGAGTGGGACAAATGCGACCTTTTTTTGCGCACCCGGACATTTGCGCACCTTTTTTTCCGCACCTTGCCCATTAGCGCACCTTTTTTCGCGTTTTAAAAAAGCTCTAAAAGCTAATATTAACCAATTTCTATTCCAAAAGTTGTTTTTCTAGGTAATTTTAGAGCGTAGAATCGAAATTTTGACATATCAGAGCTTGCGGAACCAATTTGAAAGACAAAACGGCTAGATTTGTGGCAGGGTCCTTTTATGGCGTCGGGTTACGGTAGTTTCCGACGTTTGGCGCGGAAGCGTCTGGAAAAGAAAAAGTGACAAAAAAGCGCGAATTTTGCATCATTTTTCAATCATTTTTTCTAAGCGCTGGTTAACGCTAAAAATATGTGTTATATCTCAAAAAATTACCCATTTTCTCTACTTTAATTTGATACTAAAGTGCGCAGAAACAAACGTACTGATGTCGAGATATGAGTGTTTGTTTGAGAGTAAACTTAGACTACGCGATTACAGAAAATTGTCGATTTTTCTTTTTGTATAACTTCGTCCGTTTGTTTCCACAAGCTCTGATATGTCAAAATTTCGATTCTACGCCCTAAAATTACCTAGAAAAAGAACTTTTGGAATAGAAATTGGTTAATATTAGCTTTTTAGAGCTTTTTTAAAACGCGAAAAAAGGTGCGCTAATGGGCAAGGTGCGGAAAAAAGGTGCGCAAATGTCCGGGTGCGCAAAAAAAAGGTCGCATTTGTCCCACTCTCTCGTTAAGCCATGTGTTACTTAAAAAACTAGGCAAACTGAGAGAATAATGCGAAGTCAAAGTCATTCATTTTCATTTGAGGTCAAAGTCATTTCTCAGTCAACTCCTTCTATTCGTTTTTAGCTCTTAATTTTTTCTATAGCAAAACCAGCTAAAACCCTCAAGGCTGATCATCCCAAATAATCAATTCTTCTTTCAGTGAACTGATGAATCGGTCGACAAGTGTCAAACACGTCTCATCCGTGCGATTCCACAAAATTTCCATTCACAGGGTATCTCTTCATTCCTATTTTTGCTTTTAAAGTTGCTTTTGCTTTTACTTTTCTCTATTTCTCTGGTTGTTTCCCATTCCAAGGCTAATAACTTTTTAATAACCAAAAATCGACGCCTGTATATAGTGGGTGTGCCATACGAAAGATTAAATAATAAAATTAATAATAATAAAAAAAATTTATCCACTAATTGGCACAAAAACAAAAAAATTTTAATCTCAATACATAAATATACAGTATAGAATATAGAAAATTTACAAAATCTCACTGAAATATTCAAAAAAATGACAAGAATTCGCTGCATAAAGACATGAAAAAAGTACGCGTACAAAAAGACACCGAAAATAAGCAAAAATGAGGGACAAAATGCATCAATTTATGCATAAAAGAGATAAGAATTTGGGAAATGAATGAAAATGAAGATGAGAAGTTGAGATAAGGTTCCTTATCGATTCCCTCGATTTCCCTTGATCAACATTGTACTGCTTCTTCGTTCTCTTCACTCTCCGTTGACGTCTCATCGACTACAGTCATTTGGATTGGTTGACCGCCCTGAAAATTATGGTAAGTATTGAGCTTTGTTTAAAAACTGAAATCTTTGATATTAACTCGTCTTTTGGTTCAATTTCTACCAACATTAGGCTAGATTAGGCAGCCTGAGTCTAACCCTGAGTCTAAGCCTGAGCCTAAGCCTAAGCCTAAGCCTGAGCCTAAGCCTGAGCCTAAGCCTGAGCCTAAGTCTGAGTCTAAGCCTTAGTCTAAGCTTGAGTCTAAGCCAAGAAACGCGTCCTAGCTACCGTAGTCCAAAAGCTACCTTCAAAAAAGCCAATATCTTCACGTTATAAATCTATTCTGTATTTTACATTGTTTTTCTCATTGATTATCTAGGTATCTACGTATAGTGGGATTACGGTAGTTGGAATAAGCTTTAGAGAAGCTTTAGAGAAGCTTTAGAGAAGCTTTAGAGAAGCTAGAGAAGCTAGACAAGCTTTAGAGAAGCTAGACAAGCTAGAGAAGCTTTAGAGAAGCTAGACAAGCTTTAGAGAAGCTAGAAAAGCTAGAGAAGCTAGAGAAGCTTTAGAGAAGCTTTAGAGAAGCTAGACAAGCTTTAGAGAAGCTTTAGAGAAGCTTTAGAGAAGCTTTAGAGAAGCTTTAGAGAAGCTTTAGAGAAGCTAGACAAGCTTTAGAGAAGCTAGAGAAGCTAGAGAAGCTTTAGAGAAGCTAGAGAAGCTTTAGAGAAGCTTTAAAGAAGCCAATGTTCTCAACAAGTTGACAAGCCGACTCCCGGAAAATCCTCTTGTGCATGAAATCTTCTTGAAACCTCTTACCGAATGTGTTCTCCTGTGCGTTTTGATTGTCCTTTGCACTCTCCGCAAAGCAGTTTCTTTATCGGAAAGTCCATCGGAATGAATGGCTCCCATCTCGAGTGATCTCTCGAGTGAGGAAGCCATCGAAGCTGACGATTCCAAGAGCATCAGAGCGTGGCGTCTGAAAATATTGAAATAGCTCTAATCAAAATTGTTTCTAATCCTAATCAATAGCCAGATTTTGAAGTCTCTTCCTTTCTACCTCCTCTCAATCGCACTCCTCTCTTCATCACTCGTCGTTCGCTCCCTTTGGAACGTTTTCCCAGCTCGATCCGAGTCCAAACTCGACTCGAAAAGATTTCCATTTCGATTGTCCTAAAATAGGTGTTGTTCTTAACGCTTGCTCTTAGCGATATTCTTCAAACTGTTTAGATTTATTAGAAAACTATCTATCAGAAACTGTTCCCACCTGTTGCTCTTCTTCCGACGAGCTGCTCTCATCGCTTGCATCCGAATTTCTCCGTTGAGTTGGCATGGGATTGTTGCTAAAGGTTTTTGATTCGGAAATAAATCAATTTCAACAATCAACAAATCAATCAAGCTACCTATCCATCGACGAAGCTAAGTCAATGTTTTGATCGACGCGTAGAAGATTCGGGTTCTCGGCTAGTGGGTTCTCGTATGTGGAGACCGGTGATGAGTACAGTGGATTCGTATATCTAAATGAATAAGTAAATTCAAAACAAAGTAAACAAGCAACAAAGCAAACAAGCAACAAAGTAAACAAGCCAGAAAGCAAACAAGCAACAAAGCACTTCAAGCAAACAAACCCATTCACAGCCGTGTATGCGATCTGATTATTGATGGTGAGTGTTGCCGTTTGTGTGGGTGGTGCAAGGGTTGAGGTCGAGTGATGAACAGTGGGCATTGTGGGCGAAGAGCCGAATGCGGCTAGAGCTTCTTCGTACGAGGACGAGGGAGCGACACTTGCTGATCTGAAAATTGAATTGGAAACTTCTTTTCTCAATATTCGTTACCTGTCACAGTTATCGTGGACAGTGTCGGATCGTTGGCTGGCCACTGATGGGTCTCGTTCGGCAGCAGCCGGGCACGAGGCGCGCTTGTCTTTGTCCCGATTGGCTCTCACTGAAAATTTGGCTTTTTTTTGACATATTAGTTTTGCAGAGATTATTAGTTTTGATTTTTAATCCAAAAATCTTTATTTTAGAGGATGCGTTTAAGAATTTGAAACACAAAGATATGTTAACCAAGCCTAAGCCTGAGCCTAACCGCCAACGGGTGTCCCTTAGCTCCGAGAACTGGCTGAGATCCAGAAAATGGGGGTTCAGCCCAAACCCAAATAGACTTAGTGCTAGGCGTTAGCCACTAGCCTACGCACTAAGTCCAAGCCTAAGCCTAAGCCTAAGCCTGAGCCTAAGCCTGAGCCTAAGCCTAAGCCTGAGCCTAAGCCTGAGCCTAAGCCTGAGCCTAAGCCTAAGCCTAAGCCTGAGCCTAAGCCTAAGCCTGAGCCTGAGCCTGAGCCTAAGCCTAAGCCTGAGCCTAAGCCTAAGCCTGAGCCTGAGCCTGAGCCTAAGCCTAAGCCTGAGCCTAAGCCTAAGCCTAAGCCTAAGCCAACACCAGCACCAGTACTCGATCACCAATCTGTCTTAACGCTCCAGTACCCACATTTCAATTTCTCTCAACAAACCTTGTGGCACACGTGCCGGCGAGTCTCTCCTGAAATTATCTCGACTTTTCTTCATTCTTCTTCTCGCCGATCCATCCGACCATCGTCCTTCTCCATGTCTGTAGATCATTTGCGAGAAGCAAGCCGGTTGTCCAGCACCCGTCTCCGACAACAATCCACAACTGTTCACGCGCGATGGCCACATCTGAATTGGGTTCCTATTTGACAACAAGGAATTGAAGAATGCGAGAATTACTCATGAACTTTTTGCTCAAAAATGTAAACACATCCTTTCTGGTGTACGCAATTTTGTTCTGCAAAGTCTTCGAAATGTGTCAGAGAGCTGTTTTTTGTACAAAAAAGTCTGCTCAACGAAAAAAAGCATAACAACTGTTAGCCTTGGGGCTTACTCGATTGATTTAAAATCCTATATTTCTAAAATCTAAAATATATAATGTTTTAAAAACAAACCTGGATCCCAGAATCCTCACTCAAACCCGAGTGTCTTGCCGGCGAGTTCCGCGAGAAATCCCCACAATGAGACGATGCGGATTGTCGGATGGCGGCTTCACGAATCAAGTTGGCTAAAGTTTAGATATTACCATATAGTCTACTGAAATTGTAAATGATTATTGGATAGTTTAGGGGACTTTTGGAAGTTTAGGGGTCTTTTGAGAGTTTAGGGGACTTTTGAAAGCTTAGGGGACTCTTGAATGGTTAGTCAAGCTCTAAATGTTTATAACTTACTACAGTGACAATATATTCGTCTACTTTTGATATATTTTGAAAGAACACATTCCACGCTTTCAAATAAGACCAAATGAAGCTAGATTGGATGGATCAATCTTGAGAAAATCGAATGGCAAGTCGTCGTTGTGTCACTTGATTTCGCCTTTGTCTTTCGGGATTGATCCATCCAATCTAGCTTCATTTGGTCTTATTTGAAAGCGTGGAATGTGTTCTTTCAAAATATATCAAAAGTAGACGAATATATTGTCACTGTAGCAAGCTATAAACATTTAGAGCTTGACTAGCCATTCAAAAGTCCCCAAAACTTCCAAAAGTCCCCTAAACTCCCAAAAGTCCCCTAAACTACCCAAGAGTCATTTACAATTTCAGTAGACTATATGGTAAACTTCCAAAGGTCCCCTAAACTCCCAAAAGTCCCCTAAGCTTTCAAAAGTCCCCTAGACTTCCAAAAGTTCCCTGAACTACTCAAGAGCCTTGGAAATTTGAATACTTACGTGAATTCGAAAAATTTTGAGGCCGATTGGGAGAGGGGCGAACTGGACGCGGACCTTGCGATGAGCGAACGGAGGATTGGCGGGAGAACGATGGATGACCGGACCAGCTGGAATGCTTTGATTAGGATAATATTTAAACTTTGAAGCTATTTTTTGGCACCCGAACCACCTGCTAGCTTGGCTGCATCGATATGGAGATCCCCTGTTCAAATCCGGTGACGGCACCTCGTCATCACTCGAGGACATCTCTTCTCCGTACATGCCAGCGCCATAATATGACGGATGGGGTACAGCTGTGGTGAAGACACTGAAATTTTAGCTGTTTTAGAACTTTAGAACTGAGTTTTCCGAACTTTAGATGAATGTTTTTCCTCGAAAACGATCGATTGCTTTAGGTTTTTTGTAAAAACACCCTTTCTAAAGTTTTCTACGAATGCCTGTTAAGAAAAACAAAGAATTCATTGCAACAGAAAGTTTACAACTGTCATAATTGTTCATAACTATACTTTGATACTCGATTAGTACAACAGAACATAGATGTTTACATGTGAGCACAAAGTATACTCAAAGATAAACAATGAAAACCGTTTTGAAAACACTCACAACCAAACGGCCATACTAATGATGATATTTTTGGTGTTAACTCAAGAGTTAGACTCAACTCAGACTCAAGTAACTCTGTTAACGACTACGCGACTTTACGGTCAAAATTTGTGTTGTTGCAAATGTGATAACAGTCGTCACAATAAGTTTAAACTAGCTACTCAGTTTAGAAGTGTCAGTTTAGAAGATCTGCTAGTAAAGATCTGCTAGTAAAGATCTGATAGTACAAGTATGACATTTTGACCAGCTACAAGCATTTTCTCCTTTCCACTCACTTAGCTGTCGCTTCTCCTTTATGCGTTTTTGGTCCAGCTCTCACAACGACAGCTCCCCGTCCAGAGAAAGATCCTCCTCGATAATGTCTCCCCTCTTTCAACGCAACATGTCGCTCTCTTTCCGTAACTTCCTAAAAGTTTGCGTTAGATCCAGGTATTTCTTTCTTCCTTTCTTCTTTCTTCCCTTCTTCTTTCTTCCTTTCTTCTTCCTTTCTTCTTCCCCCTTATCTTCCCTTCTTTCTCTTGGCAAGTTAAAGTACCGGATAGCTTAGAGCAATTGGCTGGAAAGTAGAGATTTGAATCCCCTCTCCGGAAATCTACCTTTCCTTACCTTTCCTTAATCTACCTTTCCTTAATTCCTTCACTTCTGTCGCTTCTCCTTTATGCTCTTTAAGAAATTCTCCTTTAAGAAATCATTACTTACATTCTCTCGAACTTCCAACTCCTCGAGCAATGTCGTGAGCTTTTGATACATTTTGTTGCATCGCCGAAATTTTGTCTCATACATGACACGGATATCCTGAGCGTGTTTCAGCTCTTCTTTTCGTTTACGCACTTGTTCTTGTTCTGAAAGAGTTCATATTTGATTTGATTTGGTAATCAAAATTTGATTGGTAATCAAATTTTGGTAAATCAGGAATGGGTGTTTCTAAAGCGGTGTTTCTAAGGGTTTTTGCTTGTTTTGAGACTGTTTTTGAGATCTAATTTTAGAAATGATTCAATTAGTGAATTTGTCATTTAGAAATGATCCAATTAGTGAATTTGTCATTTAGAAATGATTTCTCAAATAAACAATGCTGTTCCAGGCCTCCCCATGGGTATCCGAACCCATCCCCATGAGTATTCGAACTCATCTCCATGGTTCTACGAACCCATCCCCATGGATACCCATCCCCATGGTTCCACGAACCATTCCCATGCCTCTGAAGACTCATAGGGATGGTTCATCCCATAGAAAAATACGGGAAGCTTTAAACGAATGAGAAATCGGTAGTCTTTTTAGAAGTCTAAGTCTAAGAAGTCTAAGAAGTCTAAGAAGCTAGAAAAATAAAATACATTCTTAAATACGGGCAACGTAGTTGGAGTGGGTGGGTCAAAAATCAGCTGGAAGTAAAAAAAGGCGAAAAGATTGCCAAACTGATACTTCTAAAACGACTACCGATTTCTCATTCGTTTAAAGCTGTTTAAAGTTTAAAGTTTACTGTTCAATGTTTAAAGTTTAAAGCTGTTTAAAGTTTAATGTTTAAAGCGCCAAACTGATCTAATCTTTGATACCTTCATGTTCTCGAAGATTCCCTGGATGTCCTTGAAGAGTCTCCGGATATTTAATGGCCTTTGCCTCTTCTCTCCACATTGAATATCTAGTCAACCACTCCTGAAAGCTTTTGTTTAGATGATTTTTGATTTTTTGATGTCTATTGTACAAGTCTATTCTAATAGTTAGCACAAAACTTTACAAATTGCATAAAAGCTTTACAATTAGCTAAGCCATAGCTAAGCCATAGCTAAGCCATAGCTAAGCCATAGCTAAGCCATAGCTAAGCCATAGCTAAGCCATAGATAAGCCATAGCTAAGCCATAGATAAGCCATAGCTAAGCCATAGCTAAGCCATAGCTAAGCCATAGATAAGCCATTTTACCCACCTCTTCTCCCCAATAAGCCAACTCATTCGCCAAAATGTAAAGATGTTGAAGAATTCCTTGGAAAGAAGGACGATTTCGTGCTTTTTGTGACCAACACTGTTGAACGAGCATCCGCAAACCATCGGGAATTCTCTCGGGGAGTGGCAAGGAGAGTTTGCTGAAATGAAAAACATTAGAGATAAATATCAGTATATCGTCACAAATATCAGAATATGGTATTAATATTGCTAAAGATAAATCAGGGTTTTTCCCAGAGGCAGAAAGCAAGCCAGAGCTTGAGAAGCCAGAGCTTGAGAAGTCAGAGCTTGAGAAGTCAGAGCTTGAGAAGTCAGAGCTTGAGAAGTCAGAGCTTGAGAAGTCAGAGCTTGAGAAGTCAGAGCTTGAGAAGTCAGAGCTTTCTGCCTCTTTCTCGTATTCACTTTCAAAAATTCACCAATTAGACTTTCTGACTTTCTGAACATCCAAGAGCCATGAATTATCTCGATCAAAGGAAAAAGAATACTTTAAAGCTTCATAACATTGATTAAAGAAAAGATTATTGTTAGCCGTTTGTATAATTGTATAGAAAACATTTCTAGCTTTTAAATAAGACCAATTAGAGCTTGATTCGACTAACCAATCCAGAGAAACTCTTCTCCAGAAAAGTCAAGAAATCCAGCTTTAGTCCCTTGATTTTTCCTGGATTGGCTAGTCCAATCCGACTCTAATTGGTATCATTCGAAAGGCTGAAGTCTCTTCTATAAAACTATATAAAAAGTTAACAATTATATTATCTCTAGACAAAGTTAGGGACGATCAAAGCATGGCTACTCATTCAAAAACCCTGGATCACTTTTCAATCGCTTACTTTGATCCAACTCCCCAAAGAACGGCCATTGAATCGATTCCTTGATACGGTTGCTCACAAGTGATCATCTCCCATAAAACGACACCGAATGACCAAACATCGACCTGAAAAATTGTTCCTTTAGAAGATATAGAAGATCTTTGTGTTTCTGATACCGTAGCTGAAAGTTGTCTGTAATGTGTGTCTGTAGCTGTCTGAAATAGAAATAATAGTTGTCTGAAAAGCTGTCTGTGTGTCTGCAATTGTCTGCAAAAGAAAATGGTTGAATGGTTTGAACTAGACTTCGGCAAACAAAACCAAAACCAAAACAGACCAAAACCAAAACCAAAACCAAAACACCAAAACCAAAACAAACCAAAACTCAATTTGCATATAAATTAACATGTAAATTTAAAATTGCAAAATGCAAATTTTAATGTAAAATGCAAATTTTAAATTGTAAAATGCAAATTTTAATGTAGAATGCAAATTAGCCTTTCACTTTTTCTCACTCCACAAAATCTCGCGGCCGAAAAAAGGACCAAAACACGACCTCGAAATTTCGAAACAAAAAATAGCCTATGGGATAGATTTTTGGATGCTGATTTCAAATCTGCAAACAGATTTTCGCTAGCTCCTCCCAGTCGCGAGATATTGGCGAGTTTTGGTTAGTTTTGGTTTGGTTTTGGTTTTGGTTTTGGTTTTGGTTTTGGTTTTGGTTTTGGTTTGTTTTGGTTTTGGTTTTGGTTTGTTTTGGTTTTGGTTTTGGTTTGTTTTGGTTTTGGTTTTGGTTTGTTTTGGTTTTGGTTTTGTTATGGTTTTGGTTTTGGTAGTTTTGGTTTTGGTTAAGTTTTGTTTTCCGAAGTCTAGTTTGAACGAACGGGAACCAACCAATCATTTCAACAACCAGCCGATGTTTTTAGCTGAATCTTTCGGAGCGGCGCAGTCAGAAGCGCAGTCAGAAGCGCAGTCAGAAGCGCAATCAGAAGCGCAATCAGAAGCGCAGTCAGAAGCGCAATCAGAAGCGCAGTCAGAAGCGCAGTCAGAAGCGCAGTCAGAAGCGCAGTCAGAAGCGCAGTCAGAAGCGCACTACGGCTCACACGACCCAGGTTCGACCTCCCGTAGTGCCAATCTTTTCAGTTTTTGGCCCAAAAACGGAAGCCCGTACAGACAGACGCTGCTCTTTTATATATAATACACAAACCTTTTCCGAGCACGGATCCTTTTTGATCATTTCCGGAGCCATCCAACTGACCGTCCCACAAAATGACATCAAAGCGCTGTTCATTTTGTTCCACTTTTGAGAGGTGCCAAAATCCGAGATCTTCATCGTTCCATCACCGGCCGCCAAGATGCTAAAATCAGTTAGAAATATAGTAAAATTTAAAAGTATCAAGTACTTTGTGCTCAAGCAGACAAACACACATTTCTGGTGCACTCGTTTCTTCTTTCTAACAGCAATAAGCATAAGGAAATCAAGAAGTAAAGGAATTGGCAAGTGAAAATAGAAAGTAAATAAGAAAACTGAAGAGTTGTGCTGAAAAAACAGTGCCCCAGAAAGAGTGTGTTTACATTTTTGAGCATAAAATTCCCTGCAGAGAACATGGATAATTGAATTTGTGTGGCATACTTTGGCGATTTGAGATCTCGATGCACGATTTTGTTCCTATGCAGATACTCCATTCCACTCGCCACCTGTTGAGCCATATCCACCCATCGCTTTGACGGCGTCAACTCGGTACTTTTCAATAGCTGAATAATTTGTGATTGTTTAGAATTCTTAGCTGGTCAGCTGGTCAGCTGGTTGAGCCGGCGAAATGCTTTGCGACCTATTCCATTCAACGCAGAATTTTATGCTGATTCCGAATATGGATTCCGTTTTTGCTAAATGACAATCTGCTAGGAGTTATAAGCGTCTAAAGTTTTGTTAGCAACACTCAGCACTTCTTGATAAGTTCTTGATGACTTTTGCTTCTTGAAAGAAGCAAAAGTAAAATCCAAAGCCGGGATCGAACTAGTGAGGTCTCGCTCTGTAAACGAACGCTGTACCACTCGGCCACGTCGACACGCTTTTTGGCAAGCAAGGCGGCGCTAAGACCCAAATAACCACATTTTTAGAGTTCTTACAAAACTTTAGACAAGACGAAAATGTGGCTATTTGGGTCTTAGTCGGCTTCCTGGCGGGGCTGGCTTGTTGCAACCTTGGCCGAGTGGTAGAGTTATAGCTTCCAGAGCGAGCGTTAGCTTTCAGCCTCGCAAGTTCGATCTCCACTTCGAGTTTTTCTTTTTGAATTTCGCCAATCATGCATTGATGTTTTGTGCTATTTCATTTATGTCAATGATGCAAAATTCGAATTTTATACGTCGCATAGCATTTGGCCGGCTCAGTCAGTTGATTTGTCAATAGTCAATAGTAATAGCAATAGTCAATAGTAATAGCAATAGTCAATAGCTCAGCCAGTTTCCTTGTCAATAGTCAATAGTAAATCAATAGCAACTAATTCTTACCTCATTGAGTTGTCCATTTGAGCAGAACTCCATCACGATGCAAAAACATGGGGCTTGTGTGCAAATACCCCTGAAATTTTGTGGATAGCAAACGAATTGTCTAGTTTTGAATGGTTTGAATGGCTTGAATGACTTGAATTCGAGTGTTTTCCTCGGCGAGTAATGAGTTTTTTTTAAAACGCACACTTGAGAAAAAGAGAAAAACTACCGTACTACCGTACTTTTAGGATTATTGCAAAAAATTTGCGTGAAAAAAAACCAGGAGCGCCAACTTATAAGCGACTCTTTTTAAAGAAACTCAGCCACTTAACTGATTTGGTGACAAATTCTCTTTAAACTATAAAGATATTCAATTTACTCGCCGTGTATTCAGTAGTCGAATCTTTTAATGTTTACTATTACAATTGCTCGTAGATTACTCGACCAAAAGCGTCGATTAATCGATTGAAAATTACTTATACACATTTTACTCGAGTAATTACTTCCTCATGAGGAACACAAGAGAGAATACCAGCTGAATATCTTGCCTGATTCAATCAAAATAATCAATAGTCAATAGCTCAGCCAAGAGAAAAACATTCGCTACAGTATACCGTTACAGTGTGCCGTTACAGTATGTTGCTACAGTATGTTGCTACAGTATTTCGCTACTATGCCGCTACAGTATGTCGCTACAGTACGCCGTTACAGTATGCCGCCACAGTATACCGCTACAGTATGCCGCTACAGTATACCGCTACAGTATGCCGCTACAGTATGCCACTAGAGTATGCCATTACGGTATGCCGTTGCAGTATGCCGTTACAGTACGCCGTTATAGTATACCGTTACAGCACGCCGCTACAGTATGCCATTACAATACGTCGTTACAGCACGCCGTTACACCATGCCCTTACAGTATGCCGTTATAGTATGGCGTTACAGTATACCGCTACAGTATACCGCTACAGTCTACCGCTACAGTAAGCCGCTACAGTACGCAGGCAAGACTGACTTTCTTTGCTGAACATGATACTTTGAAAGATATTTGAAAGGTTCAGCTTTTAAAAGCGACTGAATACTTTCAATCCCGGCATACTGTGGTGAAGAATTTGCATTTTACAGTATTCTTAAATTGTTCTATATATTAAACTATAGTTTATATTAAACTATATTAAACTATAGTATAAGTTTACACTTAAACACTCACATAAATTTAATGATGTTCCGATGATCAAGATATCGCAAATGTTTTGTCTCCGTATCTTTCAACTCTTTCACTTTTTTCACCGCAACCGTTTCCGCGTTTAGGCGACCCGAGAAAACGGCACCCTGAAAAACAAAATTGCATTTAATCATTTACCTGTTACATTTAATCATTATGTTTAATGTTTTTATAATTATATAATGATTTATAATGCTATGTCCTTTTAGATAAGCTAAGCTATCTTGATCATTCCTTAGCTCCACAAATTTGGTTCCTTATCTCTGAATTTGGTTACTTATCTCTCTAAATTTGGTTCCTTATCTTTCCAAATTAGCTAAGAATCCAACCTGAGATCCAGCACCCAGCCATTCAAGATTGGTGATCGATTCGAACGGGATCTCCCAATCATCTCCAGAATATGAAGCTCTAAAGTATGCTATTTTTAAATACAATTCGTAGGCCAGGTTCTGCCAAATGCAGAGCAGATCCTGGCTTGGCTCTGCTGTAGGCTTGATATAAGTTTGATATATAACAAGTTCATGGATAGCCAGTACTGAATCTCTCAGAAGCCAGTGCCAAGCCAGTGCCAAGCCAAGCCAGCCTAAACCTTGCTTGGCCTGGCACATTCCTGTTGATATTTTACTAGTTAGTCACTAGAGCTGACATTAAAACTAACTATAATTTACTTTGCTCTAGATTTAATATGATACTAGGCCTCTAAAGGCTGGCTCATAATGGCTTAGATGGCTTAGATGAAGGCTTAGATGAAGGCTAGGCTTAGATGAAGGCTTAGATGAAGGTTTAGATGGCTTAGATGAAGGCTTAGATGAAGGCTAGGCTTAGATGAAGGCTTAGATGAAGGTTTAGATGGCTTAGATGAAGGCTTAGATGAAGGCTAGGCTTAGATGAAGGCTTAGATGAAGGCTTAGATGAAGGCTTAGATGAAGGCTAGGCTTAGATGAAGGCTTAGATGAAGGCTAGGCTTAGATGAAGGCAAATTAAGTCATAGTCAAGTCAAAAATGTGACAGATTTCTTAAAGGCCTATAAAGGCTGGCTCATAATGTGTTAAGGCTTAGATGAAGGTAGATCAAGTCGGAAATGTATCAGTTTACTTAAAGAAGTTATCATTGTTTGTTATCATTGTTATCATTTCATTTTCATAACATTTTTCAACTTATATTTCAATTTTTAACCAATTCGGTTGGCTATAAGAAAAATTAGGGTCATTAGAAGCTCTGCAAATCAAAGCGTCTGGCACGAGGATGCTTTTCTGGCTTCTAATAGCCCTAATTTTTCTTGTAGCCAACCGATCTGGCTAAAAATTTGAATATAAGTGGAAAAATGTTATAAAAATCAAATGATAACAAAGTTCTTTAAGTAATCTGACAAAATTTCGACTTAATGCCTTTCGATTTGCCTCATAGTTCACCAAAACTCACATCGAATCGCCCTTCTTTGCTCCGAAGATTGGGAAAAACGAGCCAAAGCATGAGGTGAGAATATTGTTGAACATCCCGGCTGAACCTTTCACGTAATCAATGGGCTCTTTTTTGGGGATAATTGGAGAAAGCCGGGGACTTGCCGGCGCACTTTGGCTCAATCCCGGCGCTCCCAGATGAACGACACCTTGTGACACCACAGAGTCTAAAGTTTTTTTGAGTTTAAGCTTTCAAAACTTTATCTAGAACCTGTTGGTGTTGTGTCGAGAGTGGTAGAGATTGTGCTCGTCATTTCGATCATTCTTTTTTTCTTCCCGTTTTCTTCCTTTCTTGTTGATTTTTACCTAACACCCGTCACCCCAAGGAGAGGCGAGCCTCTGAAAACAAATTGATTTTCAAAAATGGATTAAATGAAAGAAATGAAATGATAAAGTGATTTATTTATAAGCTGAATATCATAATTAACCTATGAACAAAGGGTTAACAAAGAAAAAGAACAAAGAAAAGACTTTTCAAAGTTTCAAAGTTTATGAAATGATTCAAAAAGGAGAAAATCGAAGAAAATCGAAGAAAATCGAAGAAAGTCGGCTCTTTTCTATTTCCCCCGAACTTCTGAAGAATTTAAGAAGCTTTTTGAGTGTTTAAATCGACTTTTTGAGTGTTTAAATCGATTTCGTTTAGAATTTATTATTGTTAACTACTATTATTGTTAACTTTTTCTACATTTCAAGCTTTTGAATGATCAATAAATCGATAATGCTGTACTTAAAAAGGCGATTGAAATTGATCCTCGACAAACTGCACGTGAACTTGCAGAAATATTTGGAATAAGCCCTCAAAAGTGCGCATTTATAACTGGACAACCTAATAAAAGAGCTATGTCTGTCTGTCAACTCCTCCGCACCCAGTGGGCCGTTTAAAATAACTTCTAGTTAGTTTGACTTAGAATTTCATGTAGTTGTGCAAAATGTTTTGAAATTTCTGAAAAACTAAAAGTGCTGACACGGGCGGGAGTCAAACCCGGGTCGTTTGGGCTAGAGACAAGAGCGCTCGCACTGAGCTAGAGCATGGCCGAGTGGCTAACTGAGCTAGAGCAACTGGCTCTCAAACGAACGAAAGAAAGAGGTCGCGGGTTCGACTCCTCTCGCTGCCAATTCTTTTGCTTTTTCCTCTAAAAAGTGTTTCTTTTTGCCGCTGGTATAAAAGAAAAGCTGATTGAAGTTCAACAAAAAGGAAATCAAAGCCAACTTGGCCAAAAGCCAACTCCTTGTCTCTTGATTTTGATTGTTTTTCATCAAAATGAAGCTCATCTGAATATGAATCATTTGAACAAGTTTTGTCTCATTTAAAAGCTCAAGATTTTCCTCTTTAAAACGCTACGTAAAGCTAACAATATTATCGCTAATTGTAAACAAAAATTATAGCCATTAAAAGCGTCTGAAACTCTTCAAAAACTTGAAAAGTTCCGGAAAAACAATCAAAACGGATAAGAGCCAACAAAAATCGATATCTCGATATCCAAAATTGAATAGGAGACAAAAATCGGATGAAAAGAGAGTGCTCATGTAGCGGAATAGTCAATGAGTTAAAAAAGCGGATTGTTTGTGCAATTGAGAATGAATCGAGTGATTCACCGATCAAATTTTCCCTCTTTTTTGCCTTTTTCACTCCTTTTCCCTCAATATTTAAAAGCCGGGAAAAGACGGGAAAAATTCCATCAGAAAAAATACAGGAAAAAGTGATGTGATCGTGGGAAAATTTGGAGATATTTATGGGTGAATGGAAAAGAAAATGAGTGAATCGATTGAGGATATTGATCGGGGAAATTGCAAGTACTGTACAAGTACTTGCAAGTACAAGTCAGTACTTGCAAGTATTGCAAGTTGTTTACTGTATTTCAAGTTGTTTACTGTATTTTGACCAGTAAATAAGTGTACAATCGCGTAGTCGTTACGTGTTTTACTGATCATTTAGTGAAAATATCAAAGATATTTAAAAGATATTCAAAGGTAAACTATCGTAAATACTCTAAAAGAGCGGCTTTCTATAGGAGCCTATCCTATGATAGCCTATGATAGCCTATGATAGCCTATGATAGCCTATGATAGCCTATGATAGCCTATGATAGCCTATCCTATGATCCTATAGAAGCCTAAGCCTTCTAGTCTAAGTTCGTATTGATTCTCGTATTGATTCTCCAAGAGAAAGCAATTTTGAGTTTCTGAAGAGGAAAAGGGTTAATTTAGCAATTTTTTGGTATTTGGTAAAGAAAAGGGTGATTTAGCTGGTGCTTTGATGAAAAAATGATGATGAACTTGTTGAACAACTCTGTTATTTTTGAAAAGTTTACGAAAAATCGATACTGAAGCTAGTGAGAGCTCCTCATTTGACCTCATTCTCTTTCCAATGGAGAATGGGTCTGGAATTGGACTAGAAAAAAAAAGGAACCCTCAAATGGAAGGGTAAAGAAAAGGGAAAAGAGGAAGAATTTGGAATTCTAAGGAAACGGGGTTCTTAAAAGTGACTCATCCCTATCTCTCACTCAAATATGTAATATCACTCCTTGGGGATTCATTAGAAAACCATTGAGCATGACAGAAACTTTCTGATTCAAGAAAATACTCTTGTTGTTGAAAGTCTTGAGAGTCTGTTTTGAAAGCAACTGTATTCTGAAAAAGTTTCTGATTAGAATGATTCTTTAACAAAATGTATTGCTCCCGACTAGACTTGTAACAAAAACATCTGTCGATCCTTTTTGCCATTGGCAATTGAAGGTTTTTCGTGTTTTTCTCACCACAAACCCTTCGCTTTTAACTATTTTGATTATCATTCAATGGAGAACGAAATTTCGCGTCGAATGATACCAAAATCAACTTAAAATATAATATCCATGTAAAGTTATGAAGCAAAAGGTTAAGTCTCGTCCATAACGGCGGGGTTTCACCTTTTGTCCAATAACTTTACGTGGTTATTATATTTTAAGTTGATTTTGGTATCATTCGACGCGAAATTTTGTTCGCTATCAAATGATAATCAAAATAGTTAAAAGCGAAGGGTTTGTGCTGAGAAAAACACGAAAAACCTTTTGCCGACGGGAAAAAAGGATCGACAAATGTTTTTGTTACAAGTCTACTCTCGACTACTGTAATCTGCCTCGAGTTTTATCCAATCTCTCTACTTTTTTATATCTTTGAATCAAATCAAAACTCTCACCGAATCAGCTCAAACGTAGATTGAAAAAAAAAACTAGAACTAATGATAGTTTTAGAAAGCGTTTCTTTCATTTTATAGTTAGATGAAAGATGAAATAAACTTAAAAGACAAAAATGGGTATATTGTAACTAGAATCTGACGGAATTGAAGACGAGAATTGCTAGAATTCCAACGAGCAATTCAAAATTGAGCTTTTTTGTCAAGTATGTTACCTATTTTGTGATTAAAAAGGTTCTTACAAGTTTAAACTTTAAGAAAATAAAATAAAAGAGAATAAAAGAATAAAAGAATAAAAGAATAAAAGAAAATGATTGAAAATGATTGAAAATGATTGAAAATGATTGAAAATTATTGAAAATCATTGAAAATCATTGAAAATCATTGAAAATCATTGAAAATCATTGAAAATAAAAGAGAATTTTTTGGAATATTTGAAGAAAATTGTTGGCGAATCGCTTTTTTCTTGTGAGCTGTTGGTTGCTATGAACGCTTAGGGGACAACACTGGCTCTTTTACCTGAGAATTTCTGAATGAAAAAGGGAAATGAAAAGGATATTTGATGAATAGAGACATTCAGTTGTCAGATTTTGTTTAGAATTCAATGAAAGAATCTTGTTTTCATGTAGGTTTTGGTTTTGTAAGCTTTAAGTTTCGTTTTGTAAGTTTTTCAAAGCTTTGACTGAATTCTTTTCTTGAGAAAGTTACAGTAACCAAAAAGAACATGAATTTTAGGCATACTGGAACTGTAACTGTAGCTGTAACTGTAGCTGTAACTGTAGCTGTAACTGTAGCTGTAACTGTAGCTGTAACTGTAGCTGTAACTGTAGCTGTAACTGTAGCTGTAACTGTAGCTGTAACTGTAGCTGTAACTGTAGCTGTAACTGTAGCTGTAACTGTAGCTGTAACTGTAGCTGTAACTGTAGCTGTAGCTGTAACTGTAGCTGTAACTGTAGCTGTAGCTGTAACTGTAGCTGTAACTGTAGCTGTAGCTGTAACTGTAGCTGTAACTGTAGCTGTAACTGTAACTGTAACGGTGACAAGTAATGCGTTTTCTAGAAAGTTGGTAATCTTGGAAAACTACTGCCGCCGTTCTTTTCTTTCTATTCGATTTTAATTATGATTTTATTCGATGAGGAATCTGTGAATCAAATGAAAACAAGAAAGATTACGGTAGCTTTTCAAAATTGTCCAAATTTCAAATTCAAAACTTTTAGAAAACGTACACGTACAATACACGTACACGTACAAAACGTACAATCACTCACAAACATTTTGGAAACAACTCTTAAACTGAATCTCTTTTAAACTTGTTAAAGAGATTCTTTGTTTTTTTTCTATTCGACTTAATTATCCAGCCATAATTAGCCAAATAGTCAACAAAACCAAATATCCAACTAAAAGCATTGAGTATACAGTAATTTATAAGTTAATTTATAAATTCAAAAAAAAACAAAGTAATCTACCCGTGTTCTATGTTTCAAAAGTTTGAAAAACCTTTTCTTAGTCAGTTCATTATATACTGCCAAGAGTTGTAATTGAGTTTCACCTGTGGAAATGAAAAGGGATTCGAGAAAATTGCATCTTTCTGCTGTTCTCATGTGTAAAATGCTAAAATCGGATACCCAAAGTGCGTCACGGAAACGAAAATAGAGCAAGAGGGGACTACTGACGGCAGAAAAAGGAAGAAAGGAGCAAAAAGGCGAACGATGAGCTAGTTTTTGGCCTCAAGCCTTCAAAAATTGATCTTTGGAAGTGTGGAGAGGGGAAATTTGCAACGAGATTTTGGTTTGATGCTTTTGATGAAGACAAACTAACAAAGGAAAGGCAACTACGGTTAGTAGGATGTGATTAAATGAGATAAGCCATAGACCATTCGGCGCAGAATTTCACACTGATTCCGAAACTGTTTTCCGTTTTTGCAAAGCGACTTTCTATAAAAAGTTATACGTGTAAAAATGGTTATCGGATTGGATCGAATCGGATCAGGACGGATCCGATCCGATCCATCCGATCAATCAGGCTAGCCCGATCCGATTCGTCCGATCAATCGGGCTAGCCAGATCCGATCCATCCGATCAATCAGACTAGCCAGATCCGATCTGCTTTGTACGGCCAATTAGGCTAGCCCGATCCGATCTGCTTTGTACGGTCAATTAGGCTAGCCCGATCCGATCCATCCGATCAATCAGGCTAGCCAGATCCGATCTGCTTTGTACGGCCAATCAGGCTAGCCCGATCCGATCTGCTTTGTACGGCCAATTAGGCTAGCCCGATCCGATCCATCCGATCAATCAGGCTAGCCCGATCCGATCCATCCGATCAATCAGGCTAGCCCGATCCGATCCATCCGATCAATCAGGCTAGCCCGATCCGATCCATCCGATCAATCAGGCTAGCCCGATCCGATCCATCCGATCAATCAGGCTAGCCCGATCCGATCCATCCGATCAATCAGGCTAGCCCGATCCGATCCATCCGATCAATCAGGCTAGCCCGATCCGATCCATCCGATCAATCAGGCTAGCCCGATCCGATCCATCCGATCAATCAGGCTAGCCCGATCCGATCCATCCGATCAATCAGGCTAGCCCGATCCGATCCATCCGATCAATCAGGCTAGCCCGATCCGATCCATCCGATCAATCAGGCTAACCCGATCTCATTTTGCCAAAAACCATGTCGATATATTTAAGTTTTTGAGTGAAAATGCGAGAATTTCTTGCCGAATGGCTTTATATGGGGGTTTTTTCACGGGTCTCAAGCGGGAATGGGTGGTGTAGTGGATAAAGCGCTTTATCATGCATAGCTTGCTTGCAAGCATACAAAACGAACGCTCTATTTTTTTGCTCGAGTTTGATTCCGAGTTTTATTTTGCAAAAAAAGGTTTTTGCCGATTCAATTGAAGCGATTGATTTGATTGAGTCTACCGATTAGAAACTCGAGTTGAATTTGAATAAATAAGCTTGAAATATATAAAAGATGAATCCATTTAGCTTAGCTTTATTTCCGTAAGCTTCTCTGTCGAACTTTTGTTTCAAAAGGAAAGGTTCAACTACTATTTTCCAAAGGAATTCCATTTTTCTTACGTCAGTGAGTCAACAAAGGAATGTATTTTTGGCTTATCAGTTCGTTAAAAAATCACTTAACTTTCGAAAACAAATGGCTTTTTGAGGGAGGATTTATTTACATTTTACAAGGACTACGAAACTCGACATTACCCTGGTTTTTACAGTACTTCAGTCTTTACATGATAAGTATTCTTCAATTCAAAATAGCATTTGATTCTGTTTGCTTTGATTCTGATGCAAAAATAACATTTAACTCTGTCTACTTGTTCTTCTTTTCAAAAATTCCAATGATTCGGCCAACTAATCAATCAAATACTTGCACAGAGAGCCAGTTGAGAGAGCCATCGAGAGAAAAAAGTGATCAGCGATTTCGTAACTCGAGAGCTTTTCAAAGTTAATTTAGCTTCTATCAGATCAATCAGAAAGTAAATGGTACTTTGTTTAAAAAAGCCATTCAAGAACTTGACTCTTGACTAATAGTTGTCTAGACTTTATTGACAAAAAAGGATAAGCTCAATAATGAAAGAATCGAAAAATGAGTGCACCAGAAATGGCACGTTTCTAGATTTGGGCACAAACTTTAGTCCAGGTCCTGGTCCAGATCCCGGTCCTGATTCAGATCATGGTCCTGGTCCTGGTCCAGCTCCTGGTCCTGGTCCAGCTCCTGGTCCTGGTCCAGCTCCTGGTCCTGGTCCAGCTCCTGGTCCTGGTCCAGCTCCTGGTCCTGGTCCAGCTCCTGGTCCTGGTCCAGCTCCTGGTCCTGGTCCAGCTCCTGGTCCTGGTCCAGCTCCTGGTCCTGGTCCAGCTCCTGGTCCTGGTCCAGCTCCTGGTCCTGGTCCAGCTCCTGGTTCTGGTCCAGCTCCTGGTCCTAGTCCTAGTCCTGGTCCAGCTCCTGGTCCTGGTCCTAGTCCAGCTCCTGGTCCTGGTCCAGATCCTGGTTCTGATCCTGGTCCTGGTCCTGGTCCTGGTCCTGGTCCTGGTCCTGATCCTGGTCCTAGTCCTAGTCCTGGTCCAGATCCTGGTCCTGGTCCAGCTCCTGGTCCTGGTCCAGCTTCTGGTCCTAGTCCTAGTCCTGGTCCAGCTCCTGGTCCTGGTCCTAGTCCAGCTCCTGGTCCTGGTCCAGATCCTGGTTCTGATCCTGGTCCTGGTCCTGGTCCTGGTCCTAGTCCTAGTCCTGGTCCAGATCCTGGTCCTGATCCTAGTCCTGGTCCTGGTCCTGGTCCTAGTCCTAGTCCTAGTCCTAGTCCTAGTCCTAGTCCTAGTCCTAGTCCTGGTCCAGATCCTGGTCCTGGTCCCAGGAATTCTGTCAGCCTACAGCTTAAGCCTGACCAGCACAAGCAAAGTTTAAAGTTAAACCTTGATCTGGCTACTGATCTCGTAGATAAAACTGCTTTTAAAACAACATTGGAAAGATCTGAAGCTGTTTTCATTTGGGTTTGAGCTATTTTCAATAAAAAGGGGATTTTTGCAACGGTGCCTGAGATTGAAGTCCTTGAAAAAGAGCCGAGTGATTGCTGGGTGAATGAGGCCAAGGGGAAGGGAGATTGCGAAACGCTATCGGCACTCATTCCTTTACCCCTTCCCCCTTCGTTCTTTTCATTTCCCCAGTTGACACCTGAGTCTGTCTTCTTCTTCTTCTTCTTTTCAACCTTTCCCCAAATCGAAAAGTGAAAAACTTTCTATACCGCCAACAAAAAAAAAGCTCATTAGGCTCATAAAAGCTATCGTGAATCACGTGATTTCCATGGAATTTGTTGATTTAAACAGGAAAACCTGAGAATTATTGGGTAAAATAGATAAATAGGAGTACTGTACATAGAATTTAGTTGTTTATAGGTTTAAAAACATTCACTAGAAGAGTAAGCAGTACTTTTGAGATGGCTGGCAGATAAAAAGTACTTTTGATATGTCTGGCAGATAAAAAATACTTTTGAGATGGCTGGCAAAGTAGTTTTTTTAACAAGAGTCGTTAGTTGTGCACTATTTAAACAAAAATTCGTTAGTTGTACACTACTTTGCTTTGGTATACTGTAGTTTGAAGTAGTTTCAAGCTTTTTGGAGGTTTGTTAAAACTCGGGATACTTTATAACTTTACAAAACGGCACAGTATGCTACTAAGCTGACTAGGAAAAAGTAATTGCGGTAGAAATGGCGAAATATAGAAAAACAAGCGAAAAACCCGCATAACAGCGGGTTTTTCTGGTTCAGAATTTCGGTGGCCGTGGCCCAGCCGGGAGCTTGCTGGTCAGAGAAATTCGGTGAGCCAATTTCTCTGAAAATTTGACTAGATACTAAACTCTTTGTGCTCTATCTTTTATCTAATGACACGAAGATAGGTTTCCTTAGCTACAGTGATCTGATTCCTTAGCTAAAGTGATCCGGTTCCTTAGCTAAAGTGATCCGATTCCATAGCTAAAGTGATCCGGTTCCTTAGCTAAAGTGATCCGATTCCTTAGCCAAACCGCATCATCGAGTGTCTAAAGTTTTGTCTAGAGTCTAAAGCTAAAGTTTGTCTAAAGCTAAAGTGTGTAAACCGCATTTTTGATTAACCGACTTGAGGCTCTCAAAAAACATTTAAACAGGAGATTTTAAACTCGTTTTAGTGTTATTTTGCTGAAAAATAATTGGTCTTTCTAATGAAACAAATCGTAGAATTGGTGAATTGGTTACTTTTCAATGGACTTATGAAAAGAAAACATTCAGACATTGACACGAAGATAGGTTTCCTTAGCTAAAGTGTGTCTAAACCGCATTAGAGATTCACCAACCAAAAAAAAGGTAACGAATAACTTTCTGAATTTAACTAACAGCTCTTCTCTTCTCTTTTGTTTTCATATCCAGGCTTTAGAAAATAGAAATCGTTTGTTAAAAGATAAAAGAATTAAAAGAAAGGCTGATTAAAGAAAGAAATAGATGATTAAAGAAAGAAATAAATGATTGAAGAAAGAAATATCAAAAGTTTGAACAGAAAAAAGGTTTCAATTCAATGAAGAAGCAAAAAAATCGATAAATTCTTCTTCTACGTGAAGGAGAAGCCGTTTTTTTGCTTGAAAACCAGTGTCGCTTTCTCGGAAGACTGGTTGTTTAAGGGAAACGGATAAAATAAGAAAAAGAGACGATAGTAGAGTTTAAAATCGATATTAAAAAGAATGTCTAACTATAATTTGATTATAATTTGAAACAAAACTCGAATTTGATCAGTTATAGAACAAAGGTGAGAATGAAAATTTGGAGCTAATTGGTTAGTTCCGAGTTTTGGATGAGTGAGATGAAATGAATTGCATTTGAATGCCATGAAGTTAGGGAATTCACAATGATTAGTGAATCCTGCCAGTTAGAGAACTCCAAGTTAGAGAACTCCAGTTAGAGAACTCCAGTTAGAGAACTCTAACAATAATCTGCAAGAATCCTGCCAGTTAGAGAACTCCAAGTTAGAGAACTCCAGTTAGAGAACTCCATTAGAGAACTCTAACAATAAGATATTCAAAGCCTTTAGTGGACGTACTTTGTGCTGAAGAGTTTTAGACGCCTCTTTTCTAGTGCACTCCTTGATTTCTCATCCGGGTTGAACCCCCGTTCCTTCTGACACAATGGTTAGTGTGAATTCACTAACTGGCAAGAATCCTGCTAGTTATAGAACTCCAAACTGGCAAGATTCTTGACAGTTAGGGGATTCACAATTAAACGATTCCTTAAGCTTAAACAATTCACAGACCTTAAGCTTAGGCAATTAAAGTTTAGGCCTTATCTTTAGACCTGATCTTTAGACCTTATCTTTAGACCTTACCTTAGACCTTATCTTTAGATCTTATCTTTAGACCTTAACTTTAGACCAGAGTTTCATCCAGCAGGCTCACAATCAGCTTTTTACCCAAATTCATTCACTTCACAAGCTATTTTCTTCTAAAACTGATTCAAATTGATCCCTCTAGACCAGTTGATCGTTTTAAAATACCCAAGTCTATGTTCTAGCTTTATCAAGTTTTTTTTCATTCAAGAATCCTGCCAGTTCGGGAATTCACAAAAGTTTGTCCAAAAATTCTCATTTGACTACCAAAATATGCCTATTACTATATACTATTTGATTATTTTATTTGAAAATAAATTTATTTTAATTTTAATTTAAAAGAATGCTTTTTTTCTATCCGTCCTTTGTGTACTTTATGAGCCTTCTGGCCGTCAACCGCCGCTTGGTTTAATTATGCAAGGAACGAAAAGAGTGATGAGATATAAAGGGAAAAGTTTTAACAAAACAAAGCAAAACAAAGAAACTTAATTACAAAAAATTTCAAGTTTTTGTGAGGCTAGAGAAAGGATTTTCCAGGAGAACGACTCAAAGACAACTCAAAGACTCAGCGACGACCTTGAGATCGAACGAAGGGATTGCTCTCCCACAGAGAGTTCTTTTCGATTTAATTTGAGGAGTTTTTTGTGTAAAAAAGGATTTTAGTCTGGGAAATTTCTTGGGAATCTAATAAAATATAATAAAATATTTTCGAATTCGTGCAAGTTGTAGAAGATAATATTATTGGGTTGATGGAAAAGTCCTTTCCGATTTTTTGGGAGAGTACCTTAAATTTGTCCAATTTAGACGTTTTATAGCTCATCCTAAAGCTGAATTCAAGACGGATCGATTGGTCAAAAACCGTTTTGAGATATCTCTTTTCTAAAAGTTTTTACAGCTATTTTAGTAAAGGGCGGCAGAGCCAAAAATTGGCTGTTTTCACGTTTCGCTAGTTTCCCGTGCAGAAACCTAGGCTAAAAACATGTATTTCGTGATCAGCGTCAAAAATAACCCCTAGACACGCATTTTCAGAATCTTAGCAAAAATTTTTGAAAAATATTGTCACTGGTGGAAGTCGAACCAGCCACCCTCAGATCAATAGCCTTTCCGCCGCTTCTCGCGATTTTCCTTCGTTTTTCTCGTTTCGACGAAGACAAACTTGCTGATTTGGTTGAAGAAGATCCTCGACAAACGAGCAGGGAACTCGCTGAGCAAATGAATTGCCACCATACCACGGAAAACTAACGAAACGTGAAACAGCCAATTTTTGGCTCTGCCGCCCTTTACTAAAATAGCTGTAAAAACTTTTAGAAAAGAGATATCTCAAAACGCTTTTTGACCAATCGATCCGTCTTGAATTCAGCTTTAGGATGAGCTATAAAACGTCTAAATTGGACAAATTTAAGGTACTCTCCCAAAAAATCGGAAAGGACTTTTCCATCAACCCAATACATTGTCTTGGCCGATGAGTCTTTACACTTTCTAAAAGCGTTTGTAAATCTCAAATTCATCTCAATTGATCTACAATTTCGTCTAAATCGAAATTGTTTTTTGTTTATTGTTTATTGAAATGAAAATCTTCATTTTTCATTTTTTCAATCTTTTTATCTCAATTTAGGTCGATTTTCAAGCAAGCTCGAGTGCACAAAAATTGTTTTTTTGCGTAAAATTCGATAAAAAGCCTTTCAGATATGGGAAAATGAAATAAAAAGAGTCAAATTTTCAAGTTATTTTGTGTCCTTTAGGAGTGAGTTTTATCGGAACTAAAGAATCGAAAAACTAAGCACATTTCGAAATGAAATTCAAAAATAAATTCCTTATAGTTAAACGATTTTCATATTGTTTTTGTGTTCAAGAATAAACTCGAATCAGAGTCAACGCTCAGATTTAGTCATTCAGCACGATGAGCGTTGAGCTAGTTAGAGTAGGTTGAGCTGATTAGAGCTGGTTAGAGTAGGTTGAGCTGATGAGAGCTAGCTAGAGTAGGTTGAGCTGGTTAGAGCTGATTAGAGTAGGAATCTTTCAGATACTCCACATTTTATAAAGCCATTTTAACCTCAAAACTTTTCGATTCAACCAATTCAGTCAATTCAGCCAAATCTAGACTCTGACAATGATTTATTTTAGCCCCTGGAGGCCCTTTTTTAGCCATAAGTCAAGTTCAAAGTTTTTCATGAGAAGCTGATTTACAAAAGCAAAAGATTACGTAAAGATAAAAAATCTAAAGAAAAATCGATACAAACAATGACCGGATGTAAAAATGAATCCCGAATCATCACAAAACTCCATCGACAAATCGATTCTACGTTTTCGTGGGTGGTAAAAAAACAAAAAAAAATGATGCGAATTTGACCAATATTGAAGAGAAAAGAGGGAAAAAATGAAATGGGTGAGGGAAACGATTGGAAAAGAGATGGAGAAGAGGGGAATAGGGAAAAGCCACTCATGCAAAGTAGTCGATGGGGAAAAGAGGGGCAGCGGTGCCCGCACGTCGATTCACTTCAATGGGTGAAAAGAGAAACAATGTGGAGAGAATGGGAAAGGGATTGGCAGAGGAATGGGAATGAATAGAAGTAAGCAGAGAAGGCAGTGAGAGTTGGAGGAGTCGAGAAAAGAACGAGAAACGTGAAGTTTTTGGCAGAGAATGCAAAGAAACAAGCTCTGAGATTGGCATCGAATTGGAGTAGTAGAGAAAATGAGGAATGGAAAAGGGGAATGGAAAAGGGGAATGACCAAGGAAAAGCCGATACATTGAAAGAGAACGAAGAAGTTGTAGAGTGATGAAGAGAAAGGAAAAGAAAACGTAAAGGAAGAGAAGGAAGAGAAGGAAAAGAGAAAGCTTTTGGACAGAAAAAGAGAATGAGAACAGAAAAAGAGAATGAGAATCAAGAAAAGTGGATGAAAGAAGGAAGAGATATTCATTGAAGGTATTCATTAAAGATATTTATTAAAGAAGTAATGAAGCAAGAACATGAGAACAGTGAAAACAAAACATAGCTAGCGTTTCAAATTTGAAGAGATTCAGACAATCTCAAGACAAAGATAGGGACAAAATTCTAGAGAATCAGAATTCTAGAACCCAGAGAATCAAAGTGCAAAACTTTTTCAGTCTCAAATTTGAGCCAACATTATGGAAGGTAAATATTGAGAGAGAAAGAGCAGTTGTGAGATTTTGGAAAGGAAATTGCGAGAGTTGAGAGGAAATGAGGAGATTTTGAGTGATGGAGATTGACAAGGGATTCACCTTTTTTACATCAAATGTTCCCGCATTCACGCAATTTTTCGACACGTGGAACATTGGAAAGGATTGAATGGGGCGGAGAAGTGAATGGATTTGGAAGGGGTCAGCTAACCCTCGTCGAACTAAAGGATTAGTCTGGCTTTGACCTCGGCTTGGCTTTGCTAGCCTTGGCTTTGCTAGCCTTGACTTTTGCTAGCTTTACTAGCCGGAGCTGCTTGTCAATTCTGTTTGTTTACTGTACCAGTGTATCGTCTAAACCGGAAGAATATAATAAAGTGAAGAAATTAATGGAAAGGATTTGAAATCGAGGGGGAATTGAACTCTCCACCTTCCGCTTACCGAGCTCGTGCTTTACCACTGACAAGGGAATGGTCTAAAGTTGAGGAGAAAGATTGGCGGCGTAGTAATAGAAAAAAGTATTTCGGGTATGGGGAATCCGATGTTGGGTTTAGTTTTTGTCTAAGCCCCCTGGTTTTCGAGAAAAACGCGTTTGGGATGAATCGTTGCAAATACAAATAAATACCAACGCTACTGGCGCCTCTGGTTTATAACTGTTCTTTCCCTGCCACTCAAACATGACTAAATAGTGTGGTGGTAAATGTTCTTGCTCTTACTCTCATTTTTTTGTTTTTGCCCATGGGTTCGAATCCGCTTCACGCAAAAAATTTGCTTTCTTTTACAAAACATTTTAAACTTACTTTTTATGAACTTTAAATTGTGTATTGACAATTATTTTACATATAGAACACTCTAAAACAATGGTTTAACAACTGAATCCTTTCATTCCGACGCCTTCATTCCTTTCTATGCTTTTTCAACTATAGAAAGGAACGAAGGCGTCGGAATGAAATGATTCAGTTGTTAAACCATTTTTTTAGAGTGTTCTATATGTAAAATAATTGTCAACAAATATCAACAAGCAAAGATCTTTTGTAAGTAATTTGTTCCGATGTTTTTAAGACAACACAGAGAATTTCTAAAATAAAAACAGAACAAAAACTTGAAAATCAGATCACGGGCATTAATAATAAGGCAAAGAAATGAATGGCAAAGAATTTGGAACCGAAAGGGAATTGAATCAGTTAATCAGTAGTCATTTATCGTAGTCATTCACCTAATTAATCAGTAGTAATTTATCGTAGTCAAAGCAACTCCAAGCACTCCTTTTTCAGATTTCTCTTCTGTAAAACTGTTTAGATCGTTTACGTAAACAAATATGACGCAGTCGTTTTTCACACTTCTGAACTGTTTATTAAAAAATCCCATTGTTCGCGCTGATGTTAAACTGTTGAAGTGAAGCTTGCAAAAGTTTAAATTCGAAAATGCTCAGGAATTAGGAGTCGTTTTTTGACTTTATCTATTTTGTCTACAGAGTGTTCTCCTTGCGAGTAATGATTTTTCTAAAAGGTGAGCACTTTGGATGGTTATCGGACATTTTACACACGCCCCGCCCCTTTTGCCATTGGTAATCTAACTTTGAGCTCAACTATCTTGATGTTGGGTTGTCCAATTTAAAGATTCTTGGTATCATTAGATGCGCCAAGTCTTTCTCTATCGATTGGTACAAAAACTATTTCAATTGGTCAGCCCAGCAAAAAGATATTTGAGCTCAACGTTGAATTGCTAACGGCAAAAAGGGCGGGGCACGTTTGTACCACCTTTTATACGCGCCCCGCCCCTTTTGCCATTGGCAATCCGACCTTGATCTTGGTATGGGGCTGTTCAATTTAAGTATTATTCCATTCATCCTAGTATTATCCCAGAAATCAAGCTCTGAAACAATGGGATCACAACTAAGCAGAATTGACAAAATCTAGAAGAAAGATTACGGTAGTTGTCTAAATTTTCGACCATTTAGAAAACGCATTACTTACAAAGAACTAAATCGATTATTTCAAGCACAAGTCTTAAAGATCTGCACCAATTTGAGCTCAAGGATCTCCCCAGGGATTCACCTTGCTCACCAAAACGTCACTAAGCTATTTTAAAGTTTTGATCGAATCGAATGACGCGAGGCAAAGAGGCATGACCCGTTCACATGTAAATTTTCTTTTTCTCTTTTTCTTTAATCTCTTTCATTGGAATTTTTCTGTATCTTTGTGTTCTCTTGAGTCTTTTCAGTCTCTGTAAAAGCAAATTTTCTCTCTTTTTTCAAGCGGTGGCACCACCCGGGAAAGGCGATGACTCACCTCCATCCAATTTTGCGATGAAGAGAAGAAAACCTGAACTTTGTGTCATACATTTCCTTTTGAAAAGGGATCGACTTGAAAAAGTCTAAAGTGTGATGAATTACAACTTATTGAAAAGTTTTCAAATCATTGAAGAAGTCTGGAGTTTGCTGATGAATGAGGTAAAGATTTTAGAAGCGATACAATTAGGAACTTAATTCTTGCTGATTGATGATGATGAATTCATGAAATAATAGTTACTTTACCTACAATAAGATCAAATTTTGTAGATTTCAAGGTTTAAACTTTGTTTAATGCAAGCAATGAGTAGGCAATGAGTAAATGAGATGAGAAATGAGAAAGCAATGAGAAATGAGAAAGCAATGAGAAAGAAAAAGTAAAATAAGAACTAAAACTTGAAAGTGCTTATTGCAAACCATATTGGAACCATATTGGAACCATATTGGAACCATATTGGAACCGTATTGAAACCGTATCCGAACCATATTGGAACCGTATTGGAACCATATTGGAACCATTGGGAACCGTATTGGAACCATATTGGAACCATTGGGAACCGTATTGGAACCGTATCCGAACCATATTGGAACCATATTGGAACCGTATTGGAACCATAGCCGAACCGTATCCGAACCGTATTCGAACCATATTGGAACCGTATCCGAACCATATTCGAACCATATTGGAACCATAGCCGAACCATATTGGAACCGTATCCGAACCATATTCGAACCATATTGGAACCATAGCCGAACCATATTGGAACCGTATCCGAACCATATTCGAACCATATTGGAACCATAGCCGAACCATATTGGAACCGTATCCGAACCATATTGGAACTATAGGAATAATAAAGAAAAGGATCCCGATTTAGGTGGCGATGACCGATTAACCTTAAAATACCTGTGTGGCAATAAGGAACACTTGTTTGAAGCTGTGTTACGGTACTTGTTATAATACAGTGCGTTTCAAATTCTTAAGGGCACCCGCTGGCATTCCACAAACCATGTTTGCTGTTGTTTTAAAGTTTTCCTTTTGTTGTGCATATTTTATTATTAAATTTCTAATTTTTGTTAATTTCCAGGTAAATATCACACGGAAAGGCTCAGGGATTGATTGCCAGATTGATTTTGAATTGATTTGCGTTTGAAGATTGACGAAGAAGCAAACTCAAGAAAGAAAATCACAAAAGATTTGGGCTGATCCGACTGTGCCTTGCGAAATTATATTAAGTCGACGCACCAAAGAAGAAGAAGAAACTTTTGCACCAAAGAAGAAGCCAGGACCAAAGAAGAAGCCAGGAACAAAACCAAAGCTTCCACCACGAGCTAGACGCTATATTGTGAATAACATCCACGGAAAAACGATCAATGAAGTGAAAAGGGAACTGAAAATCGATGCTTCAAAGTCGACAATTTGGCGAACCATCAAGATAAACCCACATATTGATCGATAATTGTTGAACAAGCAACCGGCTGCGATCAACAATCAATCGGCCGTGACACTTTTGCACAAGAAAGCCCGATTGGAGTTCGTCATGGCTCAGATAAACCAGGAACAACCATGGCTCGGATGTCTATGGTTAGAAAGTAACTTATGTTCTATTCATTTTTCTCGTTTAGGTGATCTTTTCCGATTAGAAGAAATGGAATTTAGATGGCCTCAATGGCGCTGACTACTATCGAATGGATATTCGACGTGATCCGATCGTGTTTGAGCCTCGAAACTTTGGCGGTGGTTCTGTGATGGTTTAGGCGGCCTTTTGTGCTGATAGAATGGTCGCTCTGTAGATGGTTTCGAATCGGATGAATCATTTTGACTATGTAAATGTCTTGGACAATTGCTTGCTGCCGTTTTTGCTTCTAAATCCAAACGTTCCCTATGTGTTGCAAAACGAAAACGCATCATTTTCATCGAGCCGGAGACAGAACTGTGATGGTTCTATTCTATCTATCTATCCTACTAAGCCTTCAACACTCCATGGCAGTGTACAGAGTGTTCAATATTTATGCGGACTAAGTAGATTACTAGGTTTAGAACTAATTTTGTACAAGTTTAATGCTAAAAAGAAAACACACTTATCAATACGCTCAACGTTCACAACTTTAAGTTATTTGTTTGAAAATTATTGCCTTTTGCGCTGTTGCTTGCCTAGTTGCTGTTGTTGTTGCTGTTGCTGTTGCTGTGGCACAGATAAGTTGGGTTTATCACAAGTTTTTGTTAAGCTTTCTTAAAAGAAAGCAAAACTGAAATTTGATTCTAACATTTTTAGTATTCTATAAATTCAATTCTATAAATTCAATTCGATAGATTCAATTCTATAGATTCAATTCTATAGATTCAATTCTATAGATTCAATTCTATAGATTACTGTCAACTAGTGAAGACTTTCTCATCGTTAGATAAGAACAACTGGCGTCTGACTCCTTTTTTGGTGAAATTTGTTCATCGAGTTCCTATGAATCGATTTTTGGAATATCAAATTTAGTAAACTGTAAATCTAGAAAGTCTAATCTAGAAATTCGAGTTTTTTTCGAACTCCTATGCAGTGCTTTCTTGCTTTTTTTTCATAAAGCAATTTTGAGAGTGCTAAACGATCTGCGAGCTCAAAGTTTCCATAAATATTGAACATCCTGTATTCATGTAGAATCCTGTAAATTTCTCGACCAGTCAACGAGTCAATTCAATGTTTTTACTGCAACTGTTTGCCTGTAAATACCAACTTGTTTGTCAAACTCACCAAGAGGTTGACTCAAATCTCGTAATCAGCATGATTTCTGCGAAACGATTGCTTTAAATCATGCAACAATGAGAAATTGACTTGAAACAAACTTGTTTTCAAACAATCAATTCGTTTCCCCTTTGACAATACGTGAAAATTTCAACAGAACAAATCGACTAACCGTAAAGAAAAAGGGAAATGAGATCACAATGATCAAGATCATTCGAGAGAATCAATCGAATCGAATCTTTTTCTTTCAATTGCAAGTCGTTTATAACTTGTTTGGCTATGGTTAAAGTTTCTTCATAAAAATGGCGCTGCTTTAGTTTTTTTATTTGGTCTACTGATGTACAAATCTGTTTGTACAAAGTGGAAAATCTTTGCTCTTTTCAATGCATCTTTTCTTTTCAATGCTCAATGCAAATTCTTGTCTATCTTCTTGTTCATTCATTGTCAGTCTAGTAGACTTGGGTTTTGTGTTTTGTGCTTAAATTTTGTAAACATAATTCATCTAGTACGCAACTTTACATACGCAACTTTTCTGCTGCAACGACTGCCGCAGAACAAATGTACTTTCAGTGTTGTGTGCTCGCATTTTTGAGCACAAAGTACACTCCAAAGATCATGTTTTCACCATGATTGTTCCTTTACTTTACATTATACAATTATCGAAGGGTTCTTGCTGCTTTAAATATCGTTTCTTTCCAAACAACAGACTCAACTATGTCTTGTTTATATTAGATTATAAACCAACTAACCAAACTTTTTGGAAAAAATAGGTTTTAAAAATGATGACTGAACCAAGTAGAAAATGACTTTGCTGAGGAGCATCTTTTAGAAAACGATTTGAATGATTCGATTTGAGAGGAAAACACTCTACACATCGGCGCGAAAATGCGTTTTCTATTGGATTTTTCCGGGAGTACCTTTTTTAGATGCGGAAAATTGTGCTGATTCCGAATCTGAAGGAATTTTTCAAATCCCCTTGACAGAAATTTTTTAAATTGAGTTTTAGCGGTTTTTTGGTTTTTTTTATGTGTGGGAAATTTTTGCCTGCGTTTTTGGGGCTCGTAAGCTCGACAACGAGAGTCTAGAACCCCAAAACGAAGGGATAAGTTTTTGTTCTAGACTTGACGAACCTTACGATGCACAAAATGATGGTACCACGAAAATTTCCCATCAAATCTTCTCCCAAAAAAGTTATAACATCTTTAAAAAAATTTCTGTCAAGGGGATTTGAAAAATTCCTTCAGATTCGGAATCAGCACAATTTTCCGCATCTAAAAAAGGTACTCCCGGAAAAATCCAATAGAAAACGCATTTTTGCCTTATTTCGCGCCGATGTGCTCTATTGCTAACCGTCGATTCTTGCCACTTTTGCATATCCAAGATTCTCGGCCAAGGCCAACCAGAGTTAGACAACAGTGCCTTTGGCTTACAATTAGCTTGGTCTGGCTGGCTTGCTAGCCAGAACTTTTAACTTTTAAGAACAATTCTAGCTTTAACCTAACCTAACAACTAACTCACTGCCCTGTCAACATAAATACAGAACATAAGTGAGGTAAAAGAACAAAAAACAGCACCGACTTTTCTCTGTCTGTTCCTTTAACAAGGATATCCCCTTTTCCCCTTTTTCGTCTCAATTTTCGTTCACGATTAATTGCCATTTTTAGCCTTTTCCGATCATTTTTCTCTTTTTCATTTTTCATTTTTCTTTATCTTTATCTCAAATCGCCGCCCATTTTCAATAATTTCCCTGATGACAATTCGTTCTTTGTATTTCAAAAGAGTCACTTTGTCACTTTTGAGTAAATGAAACTTTAAATCTCTGTCTAGACTCCAACTCTCAAATCATTTAAAAATTCATTCAATTTTTACTTTCAATACTAAAAGCTGACTTTCAGATGATCATCAAAAAGACTTTCAACGATTCTGAGGAGGTTTTGGTATCGAAAAAAGAGGTGAGCTTACTTTTTGGAACGCTCGTTCAGCTTGTTCAGCTTGTTCAGCTTGCTTGTTCTGCTTGCTTGTTCAGCTTGTTCAGCTCGTTCAGCTTGTTCAGCTTGTTCAGCTTGTTCAGCTTGTTCAGCTTGTTCAGCTTGTTCAGCTTGTTCAGCTTGCTTGTTCAACTTGTTCAGCTTGCTTGTTCAACTTGTTCAGCTTGCTTGTTCAGCTTGTTCAGCTTGTTCAGCTTGCTTGTTCAGCTTGTTCTGGCTAGAAAAATGAAGTTATAAACGAATGCTAACAACAAAACAAATGTTTTTTATTAACTGTAATGATTTTGAAGTATTTTAGCAACCCTTGTTTACTCGCTTCGAAAATCGTAGCGTACTTTGTGCTCTAATAAACGCACACTCCTAGTTGTTTTGTTGTTGTCTTAGTCCTGGGGCACTTTTTTTTGTTGTCAACTCAAAAACAAATTGGTTTCTCTAATTGAAAAGTTAAATCAAAACAAAAGCTTTTCCTTTCTCAGCTTCGCAATTTTGTACTCCGATGTCTTGAGAAAGTTGGTTGCGATCATTCACACGCTCAACAACTCGCTGATATTCTCATTTGCTCCGATTACAGGTGAAGATTAATAAAAAACATTGACTGAAGAGATCTATAAAAGAGCAGTGTCTGTCCGTCTGTCTGTCTGTCTGTCTGTCTGTCTGTATGTCTGTATGTATGGGCTTTTTCTCAGCCGTGTTTTGAATAAGAAGCCGAATAAGAAAGCTAAGAATCTCAGCCGAATAAGAAAGCGAAAAATTCTTTAGAAAACCTTAGAAAACCTTGAAATATATTGTAGTTATGTCACTTAAAATCAAAAATTTAAAAAGTCAAAATTGAGTGGCACTACGGGGATCGAACCCGGTTCATCTGGACCGTAGACAAGCGCGCTCCCGACTCCGCCACTTCGAAAAGCTAGCCCCAAACATTCAGCCGGGAAAACTCGCTGTTAGACGGGTATTTCGACTGTTCGATGTTTTAATCAATGTTATAGAGGTCACTACTCACATGGAGTGAACCGGCTTGGCATCTATGTACACGATTTGGCCACCGGATCAACGGCGCCTCAAGGTTGGGTTTAGAAATGAAATTGTAATCAGTGTAATCAAATTCTGGTAGCTGGATCTTAAGTTTTAAGTCGCTTTTTCAAGTTTTAAGTTTAACTACACAAGTGTTTTAGAAAGCAACAGTGTAATCAAGCTATTGATTTCATATAAATCTGATCTGGAACGCACACCGTATTTTAAAGCATCCAATTTTTAGCTAATAACGATTCTACTGTAGGGTACGGCGGCAGGGTTACGATAGTAGGAGCGCGTTTTAGAAAACGTCAGAATACTGTAAATATAATAAGTCTAATACTGCTAGCTGGAGCGCACACTACATTTTAAAGTATTCAATTTTGATCAAACACCATTTTTCACTAAAGGGGGTGGTAGCAGGGGCGCACTATATCAAAGGCCCAGTAGGCCCAGTAGGCCCACCTTTGCCCTCATCGTTCCCTTTTTGCGGATCTTCTTCGTCAATTGTTGAATTTTAACCCCAGCGAGGCCTGGGACTCCGTTTAGGTCCCAGGCTATGTTATTGTTAAGTAGAAGTTTCGCTTGGTTGTAACAAAAGTGCAAAAACATGTCTAGTGCACTCAATTCTTTACTTTTCTTTTGATATACTGCGAGAAAATGAAGATTTGAATACATCAGTTCAGAGTTAGAATGTGGTTTCGTTTTGAGAAAATAGCCCAAAGTTTGAAGTCTGAACTAGTCATAAGTTCAGTGTCTGTGAACTCATAACTAGTTGAGCCGTAAAAGTAAATTTTGTCTTTGTTAAGCCAACACCCTTATTTTTCGTTTTCTCGTAAAATAAAAACCTTTTTTTCAGGAAAATTAAGCGTACCAGAGTGGTTACGCTTCGATTTTTGATCACAAAGTAGGCCAGGTTCTAAATTTAAACCTAGCTCTGCTTTCTACTTTCTGCTCTGATAAATCTCTGATGCAATCGGAAATGAATCTAAGAAAATCTAAACTCCAAAGTACAATGGCTTTTAATGACCCGAACGGGAGAGAGATAGATCGGCGATTGGATTTTCGGTTTTTTCGCGGTTCTCGAAAAGTGGATCGGACGTTTTGTGCAGACTTTTGCATCAATCTTTTCGAAATAACACTGAGACACAAAAAAAGCTGTGGGAAAATGATCTTCGGGGATTGTCCTATCATTTTCGAGAAATTGGGATAGAGATAAAATTAGATAAGGAGAGACGGTCGGGGAAATTTTTGTGTACCAATTGGGAACTGCTTTGGGAAAGGGGTTTAGATTTGGGGGAAAGTTTTTGAAAATCCTTACTATTAGATCTAAAAGTTCAGTTCTGAAGTCTGGAATAAGTTGAGCAAGTTGTTGAGCAAGTTGTTGAGCAAGTTGTTGAGCAAGTTGTTGAGCAAGTTGTTGAACAAGTTGCTGAGCAAGTTGTTGAGCAAGTTGTTGAGCAAGTTGTTGAACAAGTTGCTGAGCAAGTTGTTGAACAAGTTGCTGAGCAAGTTGTTGAGCAAGTTGTTGAGCAAGTTGTTGAGCAAGTTGTTGAACAAGAACAGTTGAAAGTATAAGTACCAAGTTGTACAGTCAATGTACAAGTAAACAGGGTAGATAGCGTAGCATATTACCTTCTTACTGATTGAAAAGATTAGATAAAAGCTAAAACAATTGTCTCTTTTCTTAAAATTTGATAAAGAACAATATGTTTCAGTGTTTCAGCTTAACCTTTTTCAAAAATTATTAGAATTTGACGAAAAAAAGGGAGTTCTAAAGAAAAGTCTAAAAAGTCTACGTTTATTGTAACATTTAGAAACGGGATTACAGGTGTAGCTAAACTAAAGTGCTAAAGGAATTCGGCCTTCGGATGTACAAGCTGTTGGCTTTATGGTTGTACAAAGTTGAATATCTTTTTTGTATATCTTTGCTCAATTCTCTGTGCTCAAACTCTTTATCAATCCCTTGTCGAATGTTTATTGTAGAGTTTCTCTAGACTAATTCGTTCTCTAGACGTTCTCTAATTTCTCTAGACGTTTTCCAAAACGCATCAATCATATGCAGTGTAGACTTGCTTAGTGATATTATCGATACAAACGACATGCTCATTCGACATGACCGTTCAGATCTTAGTTTCTAGAAAAGCTATCAAGAAAATTGCTTCATTGGAAAGGCAAGAATGTCAGCTTTTAATTGCTTTTATAAATAGTGACTTTTAAGCACCTCGTAAACCTTATCGATACTTTTCGATATCGAAAATATAAATTCTCGATATATCAATCAATACTTATCGATATTTGAGTATCGATAAGTATTCTTGTAGTTTTCTTGTACCCAATTAGATACAACAAAATCTTTCAGGCGAACCCTTCATCATCAAACAGAAAGGCGGCACCGCCTGGGTAGACGGGAACAATCTTCTTGGCGCTGTTGTGGGCAATTTTTGCACTCGATTAGCTGTACAGGTATGAGAAAATAGTTAGCCATCCATTGAAACCATCTATTGAAGCCATCCATTGGAGCCATTCATTGGAGTCATCCACTGAAACTTTAAAATAATTCAGAAATCTTTTAGAAGGCAAAAGAGCATGGAATCGGGATGGTGGTGGCGAAAAATTCGAACCATTTCGGCATCGCCGGTTGGTATGCACAATACGCGATGGAAATGGGTTTCATTGTGGGTCTAAAATTTGAATATCAACCAGCTTACCAATAGTTGAGTGCTGTTGCATTATTGAATGGAAATTTTTAGGGAATGGCCTTTACAAACACGTCACCTTGCGTCTTCCCGACGAGATCCTCGGAGAAAGCGCTTGGGTAAGTGATTGAAATTCTAGTCTATTCTATTGTACTTACTAGTTAAAATTGGATAATTTGAATAGAACAGCGAACAACTTAGCATTAAATACTTTGAAAATTCATCTACAGATCAAATCCCATCTGTTTCGCTGCACCAGCGCAAAGTGGAGACAACTTTTTCTTGGACATGGCCTCGACGACGGTCGCTTTCGGAAAAGTTCGTTCCAAAGAGCTGAAAAGAGCTGGAAATCTTTCAAAAACTATAGTTTACGAATACTAATATCCACATTTTAGATAGAAGTGGTCGACAAACGTGGAGGGAAAACGATTCCCCCGTGTTGGGGCGCTGATGCAAATGGACGAGAAACCACGAATCCGAAGGTACGGGTAAAGTTTGCAAAACCTTCTTACCAATTACCCAATTATCAATACCATACAATAAGAAAGCCCCAATTACCGTAACTAGATATCCATATCATAAATTAGATCTTTGTGTTTCCCGTCTCAAGTCATTTGCTGTTACGGTAACCGTTATAACTTCAACTACAGTCGACTCTCGATTTAACGATTCTAAAGCGTCTCCCAAATTTCTTGCGTAGCCGCCCTGAACAGCCAACGATTGCGTTTCGCTGGGCAGCTACGCAGAAACCAAGTGCATGTTTTAACTGTGTACTCTCAAAAAAACGCTCATATTTCGACATCAGTACGTTTTTTTCTGTGCGCTTGGGTATCAAATTAAAATTGAAAGGATAGTAGACTTTTTGAGATATAACACATATTTTTAGCATTAACCAGCGCTTAGAAAAAATGATTGAAAAATGGCAAAAAAAGCCGATTTTTCATAATTTTTCAATCATTTTGTTCTAAGAGTTGGTTAATGCTAAAAATCTGTGTTATATCTCAAAAAAAATCACCCATTCTCTCTACTTTAATTTGATACCTAAGCGCGTGGAAACAGACGTACTGGTGTCGCGATATGAGCGGTTCTTTGGGTGTTAACTTAGAATACGCTACGCTCCTATGGGGGGGGGGCTTCTATTAGAGAATTTACGGTAATTCGGGTTACAATGACCGGCGTGTACTTATCGCTTCTCCAGAACGGATGTTCCCCACCCATAATTCTCTCATTACACTAATTTTCAGGTGGTTCTAAATGGTGGTGGACTTCAGCCGCTTGGTGGCTCGGAACCAACCGGTAAGTAGTCTGGATAGATGAACTTTGCTCCCAGAATTTAGCAGTTAAAATTTTTAGGTGGTTACAAAGGAACTGGTCTTTGCATGATGGTTGAGGTGCTTTGTGGAATTCTTGGTGGAGCCGCTTTCGGCAAAAACGTTCGCATGTGGCAGACAACGGATACGACGGCTGATTTGGTAAAAATGCCTAAATTCTTGCAATTTTTAAATTATACCAATTTTCCTGAGCTTTGTACCAGAGAATTAACCTTCTGGATTTGATTTGTACATGGATTAATTATTTAGGGACAATGCTTTATGGCCATAGACCCTGAATGCTTTGCTCCGGGATTTGCAGAAAGACTACAATCCTTCCTTGATCAAACGAGATCTTCCGACGCGGTTTGTTAAATGATCCAACTTGCTACAATATACCAGCTAAATCCACAAGCTATAGTCAAATTGATTCAACTATACTCGCTTTTATTTAACTAACATCTCAGATTGATGATGACCCAATTCTCGTGGCTGGGGACCCTGAAAGAGCCCACATGGCAATGTGTGATGATTTGGATGGGCTTGTCTACAAGAAAAGCCAACTCAAACATTTGGTACGCATCACAAAAAAATTCCCGTTTAATAAGCTTTAGGCCGACCTTGCAAATCGTTATGATGTCGAGATGCTCAAAACTAAAGTTCATCTATCAGCCCAACAAGCTTGAAGTTTGTCCCATTCTTGCTAGAATTTGAGGTTTCCACTTTCATTAAAACTACTTATTTTGCTCTGAAAGTAAATATTTAGCTTCGACTGCACACAAACAACAATACTTCGAAAAAACATTAGATGTTCAAGTAGTTAGTGATAAAATAAAGACAAACAGTACACGAAATTATCATTCAACTGCCTTTTAAAATTGTATTAAACGGAATGCGAGAAAGTTTGCTGAAGGGTCTCACGGATATGGATTTGATTAGTCATCGTCGTCACGACGCTCGAGAAGTTCGTAATCGTCGAGGAGTTGGACGCCTCCCATAGCCATCAATGTCCCCGTCAAGAGCGAAGTGAAAAAAATGGCGAACAACTGAAAATAAAAATATACTGAGAAAATTTATGAGGCTACGCTACTTTACAATTCCTTAAACAACCACTGCCTTGCGCTGAAGACGAGAATAAATTGCTAAGTCGTTTACCAAGTCTACTAAAATTTAATTGAACTAAAACACATCCAGAAAAAACAAGACGCTTCAGTATCCTCTTAACTGGCTCAGAACGAATACAGCTCGAAGCAAAGCTGTTTTGTGATGACGTGCAAAATGCCTTTAAGCCCGGTAACAACAACGCAAAACCGATTTGAAGTTTCCATAAAAATCTCATAAGCTTAATAGTCTTAGAAAGCAGGGTGCTTATCCATTATCAGGGTGGGGGCAAATCGTTAATTTTACTATATAACTATCATTTTTTTCTGTTCTTTTTATGGTTTAGTTTTGGTTTCTCCCTCTTTCCTGGGCTATGGCTCCTCACACTCGGAGACCTGACCGAGCACAGGCTATAACCTGATTGGCTCACGATCCCCGAGACCGGAGGTGGGTGAATCAGGTTATAGCCTATGCCCGGTCAGGTATCCGAGCGTACGGAACCATAGGCTTGGTAAATAAAAGAGGGAAAAATAAAGACTAAATCATAGAAAAACAACAAAAAAAAATACCTATAAAGCCAAATTAACGATTTCAATGACTCTATGAGGAAACAATGAGATAAAGTGCAACAGTTCACAACAGTTGCAACAGTTTTTGTGGCTCCAAAATTGTTTTTTAAAAAAAACAACACTTACTCTTACACCATCGTGTTTTCGTAGAACTGGTGGTGGCGGCTTGATGAAGACCATTGTGGGAGGCGACCGTAGACGACTTAAAGAAGAAAAATTTGTACAGCAAAACAACAAATGTGAAAAGCCCGAAAAATAATGAAGTTTTGGGGGTGGGACAAATGCGACCTTTTTTTTGCGCACCTGGACATTTGCGCACCTTTTTTTTGCTGGAAAAGGCCTTAGGAAAGACCGTAGAGCTTCGAAAATATTTCGAAAATTTTTCCATCTAAGGGAATCGTATGCGTAGATTCCGAATTTCGACAAATCAGACCTCGCTGATACGTCAAATTTGGGCTAAAAGGCAAAAACTGCGGAAAAGCGTTAAGTTGCGTAGTTTTTGCCTTTTAGCCCAAATTTGACGTGTCAGCGAGGTCTGATTTGTCGAAATTCGGAATCTACGCATACGATTCCCTTCTATGAAAACATTTTTGAAGCTCTACGACCTTTCCTAAGGCCTTTTCCAGCAAAAAAAAGGTGCGCAAATGTCCAGGTGCGCAAAAAAAAGGTCGCATTTGTCCCACCCCCGAAGTTTTAACGCCAAGCTTATTTTTTATAGTTAATTTGACTGTAAGGAATATTAAAGTAACGAATTAAAATTTTAATCATAAGCAGGGTTGGATATAATACACAGTAAGAGAGACAAAATTTCATTTTTTGGCCGAGGCTTTTTGTAGTTGACGGGGTGTTGTTGCGAGATTTGTTAAACTCTGGTTAGCTAGGCAGCTTTTTTGGTTTAGAAATTCTCCCTTGTTTGAAAAACTGATGCATAAACTATCTAACGCGTTAATATTCAGCGCTCGGGGCTAGAGTGGTTGGGGGGCCAGTCTGGAGCCTGACCCAAAATAAATATTTTTCGACGAAAACTTGCACACATAGATTTTTAACTATGCTGATTCGATTGGGAGTACTTTTATAACTTTTTCAAAATTAATTTTATGTTTTATTTGGCTTTGTGAATACGCAACATATACATTTTCCTAGGCTTGCGCTCTGCACTCCTGCCACGCCGAAGGCACCAGCTTGCAGCACCAGCCCCGAGCGCTGAAGCCTTAAGGCTTAGGCTTGGCGTGTGTAAGTGCGGCCATTCAACGTTGGTCGTTAGGCCCATGCCAACATTGAAAGGCTCCACAAACACGTCAAGCCTAAGCCTTAGGGCTGCAGCGCTGGTACGTTCGGTGCCGGTGCTGCACGAGCGCCTTTAGCGCGACAAAGGCGGAGCCAAAGTCTAGGAAAAAATAGGTGAAAATAAAAAGAAGTAAATACGACTCAGCATAGTCAAAAATCCCTGCGTGCAAGTTTATTCAGAAAAATATTAATTTTGGGTCAAGTTCCAGAACCCCCCCCCCCCCAACTACACTAACGCCTAGCACTCTTTCTTTTTATTCATGCCAAACCTTTTATGATGTTGTTTCTTACAGGAATGAACCCTCCTAGCAAAACAAATCTCTCAACCGGTAAAGTTTTTTCTTCTCTTTCTTAATTTGCGCGCTTTAGGCGCTGCAGAATTATCGTCAGTGATTCTTCAACAACAAGATCTGCACCAACAACGTCAGAGCATTCAGGAGCAAAGGTATACTTTCTTGTTTTGTATGGGTACTTTTGACTTAGCAGAGTAGGGATTGATAAATTTGCATAATTTAAAATAAACAAAGCGAAAAAACGCATGATGTGAAAACCTACAATTTAAAAGCCATTTCTTTTTTAAGGATGTCATTACAAACCATCAACTTCTTTGCCAGTTTGCAAAAGACTTGTATGGCGAAACAACAAAGATCAGGTTGGAAAATCGGATTTCCTTTGACTTGCATGACATTTCATACTTCACCTTCTATACATTCAGAACATTTTTCAACTTTTCTTTTTAGATATGGACGGAATGCCAAACAAGAATCGTGTCAACGCACTAGCCGGAAACGTTTTGGGAAACTCGACTGTTAACAAGGCGTTGATGCAACACAATGGTCCTAGATCAGCGGATGTCGTAAGCAAAGCCTTTGATCGCAGATCTAGTTTACTTTAGATCGGAATGGCACATGGTGAAGAAATGCCCACGAAACAACACAATACTCATCGGATTTCGGGATCGCCTGCTGTCACACCTCCGCTCAGATTCAGGGACAATCATGTAATAGTGTTCTGGATGTACTTAATTGTTTATATTTTAGAATGCTACTGCGTTTCAATTCTACCCAGCCAACGTTGCTAGTTTGATGGTTCAAGCTGGCAGAACCAGCATGCGGAACTTTCCTACTGGGTATATTATGGTACTGTTTCCGGTTTGAAATAAACTCTTAGAAGCTGGTCATATATGCAGCCGCAGCAATCTCGTCACGAAAGCTTGAGCGATGTGGAGTATAAGCACAGTCAATCGTCACTTCAGTCATCACCTCCGATCGGTGGCTCTTTGACAAATTTAGATTCTATGCTTTTTTTTGTAGATCACGTCTCCAGCATTGACGTTTCACGGCAGAAATCGGTAGGCAAAGAGGGTGATCAGCAACGAAACAAGGAAAATATTGGCTTGGAGAAGCGTTATCGTAAGCATTTAGTTAATAAATAAACTTTAATTACATAAACTTTAAAATTGTTGCCAATATCTAGGTTATTTACCCTCTTATCCCTAGACAACCAGGAGTTCGCTAAGATTGTTTTTTCTAAATCTCTGTGTCTCTGGCAGAAAGAGAGCCCTGATCGATCGAATTTGCTCCCAATCGCGCCAATAGCATTTCTTTCTTTCCGGGTTTTTACACGATGAAATAATTGTACTTTTGTCAGGCTTTTCCATTTAACCCAGCTACAATATGACGCTTTATTTGAATACTTCAACTGAAGAATTTCTGCATCGTCGGCTATTAGAAGAATTAGAGGAAAAGCAAATGGCTGATTGTTCTAAATGTGCTGTTCAAGCAAAGTTTTTCAATCCTACGGATCGCAAAATCAATAATCTGATCACTATTCGAAAAAATCAGGGATGGACTCTTCCTGACTTGAAGAAAAATACGAATTCAAATCATTGGCTACCTTCTCGCATTTCCAAACACCCAACTTTCTTGTCAGACAAAGGGTTTGAAACAAATGGCTCCTTGTTCGCTACTACTTCTAACGGATGCTTTCTTTTGGAAGGACCCTCCGTCAAAATGGGTCACGATTATCCTTTAGAAAACCACTACAACCATTCAACAAAAAACGTAGAAGATGCAAATGATCGACAAAAGAGCCAGCTAAAAACAAGAAAGAAGAGTGGTATTCTTGCCATGACGGATCTCGAGTTTGCTTGGTTTGAACGAGCACATATGGAGAGTAATCTGATAGAAATATATTCTGAACCAAGTCTGCGATTTTGCGCATTACCACCAACTCCTTCATTTGCAATTGTACAGATTCAGATGTCTGAAAAAGGTAATGGTTGCAGCGTTAACTAATTTTAGCTATGGGTTTAAACTGACTTAAGATTCTTAGACCATTTCGTCAATTCATTAATTTGAAGTCTTGGTGACAAGTGGCGGGAAAAGTATGTTGGCTTTCGGTCTCGAGTTTTCTAATGCAAGCACTCGAGCATTTTTCTGGTCCCTTTCAGATAGTTTGCACCCACCACGCTTCGAATACCCGCGCATTATTACCTCTTTAACAAAGATTAGATACCTAATTTAAAGCTCCGTTAATGTCAAACAATTGTAGCTTGTTTTTAGGAAGTGAGCCCGAATTGAAGGTCGACCGTTTTATGACAAGGTGCTATGAGCAGGCTTCACCATCATCTACATTGTTCGATGACAAAGGACATTTCAAGGTTTCGCAAATGGATGTGGTGTGAAATGTTGTTTAGTTATTAATATGTACTGTTTATTTTAGCTTAGCGAGAAAATTTGGTCCTTTCACAATTCGATGACACAGACGGATACGACACTGAGCCGCAAGCTTTATCTGCGAGATTTGTTATACTACGTGATATGCCCGATCTTTCCAAGTAAATTAAAATATAATTGAACGATTGTAATGGGATTTAGTGTGTGGTCTTTACGTGGTGGGTTCATCACTGAATGGCTTTGGCAACAACACCTCCGACATGGATGTTTGCCTGATGATTACAAATCACGATGTATTGATTTCAATTCAATTTGTACTACTATGAAATCATTTAGCTTGATCAAAAGAAAGATGCGATCGTGGTTTTGAATTTGGTCTTTACATCACTCAACAAAGTCGAATGGATTGCCGAACAACAGCTAATCTTTGCCAAGGTTCAATTTTTGGTGTCCCTGTAAAATGCCTCGTTTTAGGTACCAATTCTTCGAATCAAGTTTCAAGCACCTTACTCCGATATCATTGTCGACTTGAACGTGAACAATTCTGTGGCCATCAGAAACACGCATCTTCTTTCTTACTATTCGAACTGTGAGTTGCCTATTTTCTACTTTTACAAATTTGTAATTTAGTTGATTGGCGCATTCGTCCACTCGTAACCATCGTGAAAGAATGGGCAAAAAGAAAAGGAATCAATGATGCAAATCAATCTTCATTTACCTCTTACTCGCTAGTTTTGATGGTTATTCATTATCTGCAATGTGAGTAGTATTTTTATAGTCAGACAAAATCAGAGCAAAAAGACAAAATATTAAATCCAATTTATCAAATTAATTTAGGCGGTGTCGAGCCACGGTTGCTTCCATCTTTGCAAAGGGCCTTTCCGAAGAGATTCAATGGAAACAATGACGTCCGCTCTTTGAATGTGACTATGATGCTGCCACCGATCGAGAATTGGGACTACAACGATAAAATTACCCTCGGCGAGCTGCTAATCGGTTTCTTGGATTATTACGCGAATCAATTTGAGTGTGTTTATTAAAAGCTCAAAATTTTTAACTTATTAGTGAGCATTATAAAGCCATATTGTTTAGTTACGATACTGATGCTATATCAATTCACGATGGCGTCAAAATCGATCGACGTGCTATTGTTTCACAACAGCTGCCTAGACATGGGTCAAGTCAAGCGGCAATTGGGTCAGGAAGTTGGCGATCACAATGGCGATGTATTTGCATTGAGGTTTGTTTCTGAAACCTGTAACAAATAGATTTTATACATTTTTTTAGGAACCTTTCACAAACTTAAACACAGCTCACTCGATCTACGATGAGATGGTGTTTAATGAGATCAAAGTACTGTTTGAATTGACTGAAAGCGCCAACTCACTCTTTTAGCAAGCGTTCCGAGAAAGTCATGACGAGTTGAATGTAAGTCGGGATCTCACCAAATGGCTCGCTCAATGTAAACCAATCACTGCATGCCCACCAAAAGCTGGAGGAGTGATTTTTGCGCGCCATATGAGGGCAGGTTTGAGTTTTATACTAATGAACTCTATGATTGTGCGTCTTTTAGCTCTGATCATGTTATGGCCGTTACCGCTTCTCAAAAGGCGTCCAATTCGACTCAAAATGCTGCAGCCAGTGGTCGAAGCAGCGCAACAAGTGGATCAAGCTTGATGGAAAATGACAGTGAAAGGTAATTTTTCAAACATGTCATGTACAGGTTTTGTTTTACAGGCAGCCATCACCGGTCAGCCAGCTTTTCGAGAAGGCTCATACAACGCGCTGGAACAATGCCAATTCTCCACCGTCTTCCAAGTCGAATATGAATGGAAACAACCAAGCAGGACAAAAGCGAAACAGTTATCAGCAATCTGGAACTTACCGCAGCTACCGTCCAAACAATAATCAAGGACCGAGGAAGAGCTACAACAATAGGAGCTATCACAACCAACAGCGGAACGGTGCACCCACCCCTAATGGTCCAAATTGTTGATTTTTTCAAAATTACTTGTTATCTAAATGTTACCTAGTTTTTGTTCCTTGACCGGTGTATCTCACTTGTTTTCTATGTCGATTCATCCAGAACCTGAATGTGATTTGTTGTTGTTATGCCATTTTCTCAAATGACAAACCGCTCTTGTATTTAATTTAAAATAGGTTTACGTTGTTTAGTTATTATCGCCTAATAATTAAAAAAAACGGATCCTCATAATGTTCATTGTGAGGAGCCACCAAAAAAATTTTAAAAGTTATCAAAAAAAAAAGTTTAAAAAGTATAGACCCTAAAAAGTTTCCTTTCTTTGCTTTTTGTAGTGTTTATCTTCTTTTTGTATTTTCTATCATTGTCCCGATGAAGCAGTTGAGCAATTTATATTTACCAAGAAACCTGCTTTCATCTTGCACAAATCAATTTCGCGTGTCTTTGTATTTTTTTTGTTTGTTGCGCCTGATTTGTATTTTACGGGACTCATTTATTGCCATCGCCTGTATGCCGACTCATGACTTTTGATTTTTGTGTGTATTCGAAAGTCGCTTATCATCATCTAGCAATTCTGAGGCATTCTTTTTTGTTACCCTTCTCTCATTTAAGGCCGTGATGAGATTTGTGGTTGAATTGCTTTCATATTCGCTTTATGAATTTTTGCAATGCTCGTTCAATAAACGCTAGAACTGAGATCAATGAAATAGGCACGTAACTAACAAAAAAGTAAGTAATTAAGATAGTGAATAGCGATTTGTTATTCGCACTATAATGGATTCAACTTCTAAAGTTCACTTTATATTCTGCTTCTTGGTTTCACATGTTTATTTCAGTAGATAAAAAAAAGTGCAGGGCAAAGATCTTTTACTTCATTTGAGATGTGGAAGGGAGAAAGACGGATTCCCATGTTGCAAGATGCCAATGTTTGCGAAGGAATCACACGTAGGGGCAATCGAATGAGAATGAAAAGCGGAAATCCATTCACACACCCACAATATCTACACCCTTGCATTCGCATGCTATTTTGTGTGTTGTTTTTTCCCAATCGCTGGGTCAGCTGTTCTCATAAACGGGGAACCTCAATGTCATTCTCAATTCTCATTAGAGCCTTTCATCCCATCAATCTCTTTGCTTTTTATGAAATGGTTACCTCCTTCTTTTTTCTGTATGTTGTCCGTTTATTGAAAGCTCAGCTCGACTAAACCACGAGCTTGCAAGTTCTCAATGATATTTTTTCTTGGGGTTGATAAAAATTTGAAAAGTTCTTTTTAATGTAAAGAGATTTCATTTGTTTTGAATTTGACTTATGGAATTTTGATGTTTTCAAACCGATTCATTGTTTAGCAAAAATTGAGAAACTTGTCAAAGAATTGATTAGTTTGAGCAATCTTATGGTTTGACCAATATATTCTTATTTGTATAGCTCTCCATGAAATCTACCGTAGTTCTGGTGTCAATGCTGGTTAACCTAAACGAAAACATTTTCATCCGAATTCCGAATTTTTGCCTCTTTTGTGAAAGCCTTGAGGTTGTCTTCTCGCACTCGTTTAAGCTCTAAGCACCCGGAGAACCGTAGTTTTCCGGTTATGGCACCTTATAGAAGACTTTTTACTTACAAAAGATTGGTACAGATTGTATATCTTTCTTTCACACTCTTTACTACACATTCTAGCTTAATTTTGATTTACAATACCGTATGATTTCTACTCAACATTAGCTTGAGCGTTAAGCAAGACGAATCCTAGTCTTGATCAACCTTCGGCAGTTGGCCTCGATTCTTGCAATGAACTTTGATATCAACCTTGAAATTAACCCTAACTAGCTTTGCTTATCGGTGAAATTTTGAAATGAAACGAAATAGTGAAATGGATTACGGTAGAATATTTAGCTTGTCTGTGATTTCTGCTTAGAACTACAGGGTGCAGCAGAATTAAGTAGATCTAACCACTTGGCCATGTTGTTCTGCAATTAGCAATTAGCAAATGCAATTTATGGAAACACACCAACGATAGGCTGGGTAGAAGGGCTTGGATGATAAAAGCAGCGTTGAGCCGCTGATAAGAGCCGCCGATAAGGTGGCTCTTAACAGCTTGTTGCGTATTAAAAAAATCGGTTTTCCTTAAGTCTGTAGGAAATTAGATTCAACTAACAGCGGCCGAAAGGGGCGCCGAAATTAGTAAGCAAGAATCCAACGCTGGTTGGTTGCGAAAGATTCTCATCAAAAGCTCAAATATACATTATTTTAGAGGAGGCTTTAAGCTTTTAAATGAAATATAACACTTAGTGCTTTTAGATGAAATTTGTATAGTATTTGTTTGAGATGATAAAACCAACCAAATGATAAAGCATTCAGGTGCCTACTTAATTCTGCTGCACCCTGTAGTTCTAAGCAGAAATCACAGACAAGCTAAATATTCTACCGTAATCCATTTCACTATTTCGTTTCATTTCAAAATTTCACCGATAAGCAAAGCTAGTTAGGGTTAATTTCAAGGTTGATATCAAAGTTCATTGCAAGAATCGAGGCCAACTGCCGAAGGTTGATCAAGACTAGGATTCGTCTTGCTTAACGCTCAAGCTAATGTTGAGTAGAAATCATACGGTATTGTAAATCAAAATTAAGCTAGAATGTGTAGTAAAAAGTGTGAAAGAAAGATATACAATGTCTACCAATCTTTTGTAAGTAAAAAGCAAGGCTAGTTAGGGTCAGTTTCAAGGTTGATATCAAAGTTCATCGCAAGAATCGAGATAAATACCAAAATCCAAGACTTTTTTGTTTTGCCACTTTTTATTTGGCTAAGCCGGTTTTTCTAAAATCATGCCCTTAGAAATTCTCAAGTAGAGATCTAGATAAGCTGAATATTCTAGTATTTCTCGATTTCCTGTAACTTCTACCGTAATGTGTTTCCTATCCTGAAACTTTGAGCGAAAAGCAAATCAAATCCTTTATCAACTTTGAACTTGGCTTTATTTTTTGTCATAAGCTTTCAAATCAACGTTCGTACTTGATTCAAATATCCCACTTGAACTAAAAAAAGCTCTTCTTAAGCGTTGATCAAATGAAAAATTTCCCTCAAGTGCCCCAGTTAGTTGACCTTATGAAATTTCCAAAAAGCCGGCAAAAGAGACAGATTTGAAGACACTCACCAAGAATGAAAAAGAACTTCAAATCCCCTCGGAGCTCATCAAAAAATCTTCGTGTTTGTCTTTTCTTTTTTGATTTTTTCCGGGAATTCATCTCCTTCACCCCTTTCCCTACTCAAGAAAATTTCACTTTTGATCCTCCTCTAACCATAAACAAACCTTCTCATTTCTTTTTTTGCTATTTCTTTTTTTCTATTTTCTTTTCTAAATTTCTCTTTTCATTCAAGAAAACGAAAATATTTCTGAATCTAAAGAAGAACCCTTGTGTACTCTTTCACTAACATAATTAGTGAAAAAGAACACCGGATTGCCTTGTTTTTGCCTTGATTTGCCTTCTTTAGATCAAATTCTTTTATAAGCTTTAACCTTCTAAAGAATCTAAAAATTCGACACGAAAAACAGATCAAAGTTTGCGTGTGATCAATGTTTTTGAGCTTGCTGTTGCTGTTGCTGTTGCTGCTGCTGTTGCTTTAAGAATTATTGGGTTGGGGAGAATGAGTCGGCGCCGAAAATCAAAAGAATGTCTAGAACTTCTATTCGACTTCGTCAAATAATATGCGTTTGATATGAGTAGAATGGTTAACTAATTCTCTACAAAATGACATTTAAAAGAAAATTCAAACAGCGCCTCCGCTCAAGAAAAAGCCATTTTTTCACAAAAACTACAAACTGTGATCTAGAAAAAACCATTGGTGGGATCTTCCTGCAAATTTGGCAACTTAAGTAATTGAATGTGCTCTATCTTTTTTATATAAACACCAAAGAAGGTTTATGTGAAAGAAACTGTTCAAATGATGAGTCGGACTCTTTGCCATTTTAACCAGCTGCGTTTGGAAGTTCATAAACTCCACGAAAGAAAAGCTTTGTGGAATCTCTCAAAAATGATTTTGTAGAGAAATAGTGGATCCTTTTGATGAAACCAAACGTATGTTTAAAGAAGGCTTTATGTGTGCAAAAAGTCCCTTTAAAGTTCGGCGCCGACTCATTCTCCCCAACCCAATAGGTTTAATTTTTCCGCAAATCCATTGTGCCAGTTATTTGCATAATTCAAATAATCAAAATTGAACTTTTCAAAGTCGTTTCCCCGTTCCGTGTGATGTACAGCTTGTTCATAATACGGCTTCATATGGCGTAATTGGATTAGAAATGATCTTCCGCTTGGGGTTTCCTTTTGGAGAGATTTAAAATTCTCGATAATACACTGTGGTGCAAAAGTCCTGACCGGTCGCACTGTCCTATCAACTCTGAACCATTTCGCCAGAAAAAGAACGTTAAAATTTTATGGTAAAAAGGTTTTTGGATAGCTTAAACCTTCTACTTTTATAATCCAAAGAATGAAAGCAATAACATTTTATTTAACAAAAATTTTTGACAATATTCCGAAACGACTCAAAAAAACATGGTGCAAAAGTCTTGACCGGTTTTTTATTTCTTGATTTTTTTTGGTATTTCTTGTCTTTCTGCATAAACTTTTTGGTTCTAATTTTATTTTTTTTTAGATGCCAGGACGATATCTATCAACGCCTGACAAAGAGAAAATTGTCGAGAATCGAACAAAAGGCGTTCGCGTGAAGAATGTGATGGAAACGTTCAAGTGTTCTGAAAAAACAGTGAGACGTCTCGTGGCGCAATTCAAATCAAAATGAAACGTTCATAGAGCCCAAAAAGAGGTCGACCATCAATTACAACACCAAATGAGGATCGTTCGATCATCAGGGAGCACCGAATAAACCCTAATCTAACGTCGAGCCATGGGATCAAGAAGTTGAAGGCTGTTTCTGGCAAGGATATTTCCCGATGGAGTCTCAATAGGCGATTGATTCGAGCTGAATTACATGCGAGAAGACCAGCGAAACGACCCTTGA